ATTTTTATTTTGTTATGATTTAGTATTGAAAAATACATACAAATTCAAATTATCACGCTTTTACGATCAACCCCTGTTTTTTAATCGCGATTTTTATAAGCCGCAATAGGGTTGCATGATGGCAATCGAATATAATAATTGTAGTACGAGAAATTATCATGCATACTTCTCGAAATAATGTATAAAATATATAACATTTCTTTTTTTTTATTTTTCTTTATTTATCATTTCATTATCACAACCAATTAACAATAAATAATCTAGTAATTGTAAAGTATTTATTCTTTGTTTAATTGTAGTCTTCTATTTCAGATTCATTTAATAACTCTTCTATATCATTTTAAAAATTGAGAAAAATACTTATATTACGTCCACAGCTTTTAGTAGAAGATAATTAATTAGGGCATAGTACTTTTCATACAGAGGCAGGAGAAGGAATACTATATTGTCATATATTCGTTTGGTATCTGTCAAGGGCTAGAGTATGCATTAATACTTTAAGTAAATAAGTTCATAATTAATTCGACTATGTATTAATTTTAATCAGGCTTATAGATTATAGTATCAAGGAATACAATTGATAATTCATTATATGTAAAAAAAATATAACATTATGCTGCATTATAAATTAATACCTTTGAATTGTGAATTGCTTGGTTGGATTTTATTATACTATTTTTTTTTTACTATCTTATATAGTTTTTCGAATTAAGGGGTAAAAAATGTGATGAAAAGGAATAGAAGAATTACTTGGAAATGTATTTGTTTTTATAGTGTAGTTTGAAGAGTTTATTTACATTATATTTTGGTTATCATTTCCGATTAATTTGGATTTGTTGATATAAAAAATATGATATTTTGGATTATTATAAAAAAGTGTAGTTAATTTCAATATTTTAAATTTTAGTACTGTGTGGTTGGGTCGTTTATAAAGATAAATTCCAAATTTTGCCAAGTACTATTATATCCCTAAGAGCTGGAAAAAAGACAAGACTTAATTAATACTCATGCAATAAGCATGAGCCCAATTTAGTTTATAATTTTTCGACGTATAATAAACAATGGGACAGATAAAGGAAACACTAGGCGTCATGTCGTATAGGGAGATAAAGAATATGGCCTGGGATAGAGCTGGCTGGAGGAAGATGCATGAATTAGTTGCACCGACAAGAGGAAACTCTTAAATGAAAAGAGAATAAACAATAAAAATAAGTGTGACTAGCTTAAAATAATAAATATACGTAAAAATGCACACATTTATTATTTATTTTGTAAATATATTCAACGCAAAAATATTGATTGATGAATTGAATTGTATTTATTATTTAAAATTTGAATGCATTTATTAAATTTGATACTCACTTATTTGCCAAATCGGAAGCATGGTGGCAAATAATTATCGAGTTGGACAAATTGACAAATATTTCCTTGAAATATCGTTGTGCAAAATACCTTTTGTTGAATCCAACGATCACAACGTGCACACTAAGTTACAGTTGGCGCGACAATTTACAATCAAAGTCCATAAAAGTTGAGTGTACAATACACGGTGTACACTGGGCATTTTAGTAGACGTTTTATATTCTAGGCCTTACGAGGTTACTCGGTAGTTGTACAAACGGGAACCTGGGAGCCAACATAAGCGCCTCGAGGTACGTCGTGTGGTTTTTAGTGGGTATCCCGCACACCCCAGCTGCCCTCCCTCCAGCAGATGGGACGGTTTTGCTGAAGATTTTCCACACGTTAAACAAAAAAAAAGACCTTACGAAGTTAAAATACCCAACACTTGTGTTGATTGCTGATTCTAACGAGATGGTACGCGTGGATCTCTGCTAATGGAATTGTGCGTAGCTTGCGAAGACTTATTTGAGAGACTTCATCTGCTTTACGTGTAGTTGGACGAAGGACTCTCGTTTTTTATTAACCCTCAGATATGTTAGCAAAATATCAGTAAGTAAGGAGGATAGAAAAATATTGCGGATTCGTATTTAGAAATTGTATATTTATATAACCTCGGAAATAAATATAACATTGTTTACAAGTTGGGAATCTGTAATTGGCTAATGTAATACACTAACTTTTACCCGCGTATTCGTTCACGTGACCGGGATATATTTACTGACCGGAATATAAAGTACCCTATATCCTTCTCCATCCCATATGGTACGTGCCTATCAAATTTCATAGCGATTGGTTAAGCAGTGATAAGATAACAAACATACACTTTCCCGTTTTTAATATATTAGTAGATTTTAAATATTTTAGACTAAAACCCACCCGGCTTCGCATGACATATATAATTACAATTTTTGCCATAAGTTTATTGTGTCGATTTTGGATTTTTTTTTTGATGGGTGAAAATGGAATGGTAACCGCGCCTGCACTAACGGGATACGCTGGCGGAGTACCAGTGAAGGGTAATCGATGAGAATGAGAACAGGCCAGTTAGCCCATCACGACAAATTCACAAGGAATTAACCATGATAGTTTTCAGGGAGAACCGCGAGGAGGTCGACCCGGCTGGGTTTTTTTTTATGCAACTTAGAATGGCAAACAAGCTGACGGCCCACCTGATGGAAAGTGGTAGCCGTCGCCTATAGACATGAGCAGTACCATGGACATAACAGAGTATACTGTTTCGCTCATGATACCCCCCATGCGTTGCCATTCCTGAGGACTCAGTTGTTATTCCTCTGTACCCAGTAAATTCACGCCATATCCCACCCTTCAAACCGAAACACAGCCATGTAATGTAAACCATGTAAACACAACTGCTTCACGGTTGAAACACGAATGGAACAAAGGTACCCAAGCAATCGACTTTTGTACAAAGTGGGTATATTGCTAGCAATGGGATTCTTAATCTCCATTACTAACAATCCCTTTTCCCCGTCGAGTTTGGATTAGATGGGTATAGTAAGCCATCCGTAAAAGACAGACAGAAACAATCACATCAAACAGATTAGGCAGTAGGCGACTTGATTTCTTTCGACATCTTGGTTACATATTAATACAAAACAATATAAAACTATACGTATAAACATTCCTCATAAACATCTCTACCGCTGAAAACCGCATTAAAATCTGTTACGTAGTTTAAAAAATCTAAGCGTACAAACGACGGGAAGTTACTTTGTTTTATACTATGTAGGGACATAAGCTGCACATTCCAGACATAATAAAAAAAAAAAAATTAACTACACTGTATAACAATTGCGATAACAAAGTACCACAGGGCATAAAAGGAGAGTATGAACCTCTGTCTGATAAGAGATAAGAAAGACTTACGTTGCGACTGCGTTCATGTTTACGACCGATAAATTTCTATGGAATTCCGAGTTAACAATACCATATGGTTCGGATACGACATAATAATATTAAATTACTGGGTCCTACTACTGGTCCTATTACTGGGTGCTGGACCTACAGCAATGCAGTTCTCTGGAATTATGACGCTGTGATTTTGTAATATTTACAGTATTATTCATGTTTACAGGCGATAATTACTTTAGGACGTTGGGCTTACTGCACTGCCTTTTCATACTCACCTGTCATACCTCACTGATATTCCGCCAGTGTATACCTATTGGTAGCGTAGACATTCCATCCCATTTCCATACATTAAAAAAAATCAGTCAACCCACATATGGTTACGCAAATGACTGGTAAAGTTGGTTGTAAAGGAGAGCAATCCATTTAGACGACCGAAACTGATTTTTTTTTAATAGGGATTTTTTTACATGCCATTAAATAATTACATCATTTTAATGTTCTAACATCATTTTATTGTAATTGTAATATTAAATATAGAAAAAAAAATGACAGCTGTCATATCATATCAGATGTCTTGTGGGTGAAATTGAAAATTGCTGCATTTGTATTTTTTTTTCTTTTGATCTGAAACAAAAAAGCAAATCTTATTTTGATTGTTGACATGTTATGGGGAAGGATAAACCTACCATTTATAAAAAAAATATATATAAAATAAAAAATTATGTTGGCTGTTAAAATAAATGTCCAAATTGACAATTTATATCGTAAATTATGATCTATAAAAAATATTTACGTAATATTTTTAAAACTTTAGGTTTATCCTTCTATAATAATATTGTAGACAGCAACCTGCTAAAATTTGAGCCAGATCGATCAATAACTTTTTAAAACAATAGTAGTTTCCAAATAATCGCGTTTAAAGTTATCAATATGATAAAAATATAAGGTATACAAACTTACCGATCAATAGCAATTCCAGGCACGTCTTGATAATAGTAAGCCTTCAGCCTCTTCGAAATGTTGATTATCTTGAATCAGGTTTTCTAGTTGTACTAGTCGCTTTCGTATCAGAAAGACTCTTTTGTATCTGGCTCGCCACTCGCGCCTAATTGCTGTTCTCGAAGAAAACTTCGAAGTAAATTCCAACAACTACACTTTATTTACTTATATACTCGTTTAGTCTTCACTGAAAATCCCACCAGCAATAAAAATTGCGATTTAAATCATTTGTGACCCAGAATGAGTGTGTAAAGTAATCCCGAATTGTCACGTTAAAATTTTCATTAAAAAGAATATTAGCAACAGTTTTGGGTGGCCATAGCTAAAAAGCTGTGACCACACAGCATGTATACCAACCTTGCACAAAATCTTACAAATTCCATCCTAAATGCTTTATTTACCTTAATCAAGTATTCAGTCGACTATTTGCGATAACTCCGCAAATATTTATTATTTCGACTTTTTCTTTGACCAGTATACTCTTAATGTATGTCGTGTGTGTGTATATATGTATATATACATATACATATACATATATATATATATATATATATATATATATATATATATATATATATATATATATATATATATATATACTGGTTAAATATAAGAAGAAAAATAGTAAATTTTTCGTTAACACTAAACGGTTTGCTCCCCTCTATAATTTACATATTTACATAGCAAGATACAATTGTATTGAAAGGCTGTATTATTTTTTTACTTACCTTCTGGATTTAACTTGGGCTTCTTCCAGAACACTGAAGATAGAACCGAGTACATGTGATTGATACCAGCAGAGCAGAACCAATTGGAGGGCTGCTCCGAGTCATCGTCGAGCATCATGTTGCGTAGATCCTGGCGCTCGTTCTGATCATCCGCCATTATTTGAAGTTACTCTGATTATCAGCACACCTAGTAATAACAATAATAAATGAGTTCCCTTCCAAGAAAAATACAGAGAGCTGAGCTCCTCGAGGGTAGCTTTCGCACTGGTTTCTCTTCCTGTGGCCCTGAACTCCAGCAGACTGTTCTTGGGTGGAAGGGATTGTTAGGAATGGAGAAATTAGTCTCCATTGCTAATAATATACCTCATCAGGTCAACCTCCACACTGTTCCCCATGAAAACTACCATGACTAATTTATCATTAAATTCGTCACGATAGACTAACTGACCTGCATTTTCATCTTCACTTATCATACCTTACTGGTACCCAGCCAATCACAAACCAAAGTATACCGAAATCACATGCAGGGTTACCATTTCATTATCATCTATTAAAAAAAAGCTGACTGTTTTTCTGCCAAAAGATGTGATTTTTAAATAATAATCATCACTAAACAGATTTCACAACATCATTTGAACCCAAACTAAGCAGAGCTTCTACAACTGAAGGATAACTAGAAATATTTACTTTTTTCTAAATACATACATATTATATATAGATAATTAAATTGTATTCAACAAAAAAGACACCAATTATGGCAAAACCAGTCATTTTAATGTAAAAACTAAAATACTAAACTGATTTTGATCAAATTCCCAAGGGATCAAGCTGTAAGTATATCCTTTCAGATAAAAAAAATCCAAGTTCGTTTACAACTGATGAAGTAACAAACATAAAAATAATGCAACCAAATTGATACTTCTTCGTTTTGAAATCAATTGAAAACAGCCAGACCATACAAACATACTCATAAATATGTATGTTTAATTTAAACAGGAGTTAAACCTGCGACCATTGCAAGGTGAGACAGTGTTAAACTGCCACATCACTAAGATAATTAAAAGGTAAAATGACCAAATTTAATTAGTTTTACTTTTTTTTCCTAGGATGAGAAGTGTTTGATCTAAAATTTTTCATCAGACCCCATGCTGGCAACGTTAGAAGCCTAATTGCCAATGTATGACCCGGTGAACAATATTTTGCCCCCTAGAACCAGCTATTGGGTACATTTTATCTGTATAGAAACTATCCTATCCTACCTCTCAAGTTGGAGCAAACAAGACACTTATAAAATTTAGTTTAAATCTCTGCCTATCCTACAAGAAACTTTGCCCAAAAGTAGATAAATAATTAAAATTGTGCAATTTTGATTAAATACATTTTTAAATATGATTTGCTGGATTTTTTTTAGTTAATTTCAGCCATATAATTTAATAAATAACATTTTAAATATAATATTTTAAAAATCCACACCATTTCAATTTTTTCGCTAAAAAAAATAAAGTTTATTACTTTTATATTTATACAATTTAATATGTTTTTAAATTTATTATTTTAAAAACATTATTAAAATTACCAATATAACATAATATAGTTTTAAAATATATATACGATACGTAGCTTAAATGATCTGATAAAAAAGAATTTATATATTTTTTTATGTTTTAAAAATATTAAGGAAGGTTAATTGCGAGTTCGACTTTTTTACCGATACATCAGTCAAAAATACTCAAAAATTAACACCGATTGGAAAGTATTAATGTACCATAACATACATAATTTATTATAATTAAGGATGCCGAAATTTTGATATTGTTATTGTAATCTTCAGAGATCAATAATAACAACGCATAGTGCTATGTTTTTATATTTTAACTACCTTTTTGCAATGTTCGATTATTAATATTAATCTTAATTCTTACCTCTTATAATCTAATGGCCATTCACCTCATAGTCTATTATTTAAATAAAAAACTTTAATAAATCAAATATAAACACATACAATTTGAAACCGGCCTGGCGTGAAATTGAAACGGCGGGGAATGCTTCTCGCTGGAGAACGATGGCGGATTTGACGTATGTTATGGACCTTCGCGCGGCGTAGACAACTGCAGCTCTGTACTTCCGCGGTCAACGGTGAGTACTATTCTTTATCTCTGACAACAGGTCGTTGCACGGCACAGATGCAGAAGCTATCAATATTAAAAAAAAATATTGAAATCATGCACTTTTCTTAAAACGTCGAGTATCTAAATCTATTATTTAAAAGGTATTATAAATATCATTAAACTGTAAAGACATTGAAATATATATATATATATATCCAAATAAATAATTATCCTGTATTACTAATATTGTAATCGAAACACAATTTGTATATATCAAACAGTAGAACAAAAATATTGAAATTGATTGAATATTTCATTCGTTACTAATTTTTTAACGTTCTAATTTAAACAAAACGGATGGATACGTTTTTATCTCTTTCTTTCTACTTTATTCGTTCACAATATTAATAAGCTGTATAGTATTGTATCTTTGTCTATTCGAAAATAATAACTATATCTAATAATTGTCAAGTTAACAGGAAAAAGCGTGGGAATCTTTGAATGGTAAACGTGTTTTTTAGTAACCATTGCTACTACAAAAATTTAATTTTTAATTAAATTTTACTTGTGTAAATTTTGTGTATGATATAATTTGTAAATGTAAATAAGTAGGGCATAGACAATAATAGCGGATTTTGTAGTAAATTCTCCAAGTTGGGGAGAAAAAGACGGGGAAAGAAAGATGCTAGTATGGACTCATTGCCTACCTCCAACTTGGTCTACAGAATATTCTGCAGATTCCAAGAACACGAAATTTATCGCATACTGTGGATTATTTTCAGCGATAGGGAAAAATATGCTTCTGTCTAAAAGACTACGTGAACACGGAGTTCCAGAATTTCTGTATTTAAAATCATTCAACATATACAAAGTCGGTATAACGTTCGACATACAGAACAACCCCTATATATCACTTAAAAACAAAAAGTACAGGGGTGCTTTTGTACCAATAGACATGTAAAATAAGAAAACCTTTGCCAGAACATCTTTGTCCTCACACAAACAGTTATCTTCATGTCCACAAATTTCCTACAATATGTCTATCTCAATTCATGGCAATATGAAACCTGTGTATACATATGCATATGTTTACGTATGCTCTAATTAAAGTGTTACCAACATATTGCTGAGTGTTGTTACAGTGCTGAAGTGTGTTCTGTGTATAGAGGTAGTTATAACTTTAAAATTATTCTAATTGATACTAAAAATGCCAAGTACACTAATTGTAAAGGAAATTATGTCGCTATTTCACTAGCTTAACCAATTTAGTTACAAATTTCAAATTTAAACTCATTTTTCTTAATATTCTTAATCTTTTCTCTTTCCATCATAATGGATTATTGACAAAAATATGGTTCTGAAGGTATCAAAATTTTAAAAGAAAAAATTATAATGTTTTTTATTATTTCTTAAATATTTATTATAACAGTAAAAATAAAAATAAATATAAAAAAGGTGTGCAATTTGCTGGGTGCTGGTATGTCACATAGTGCCCTGCGATGCATGCACCTTTCCATGAGCTGTTGATGTCTCAATGTAGTCCTCTTGGTACTAGCTATCATTTTCCTGTAATTAATAAAATATTGATTAACAATAGTGTAAATAACACAGATACAAATCCTTGCAATGGCAAACATTTACCAATCTTTACACACTATAAATAGGCAGATTGGGATATATTTGGAGTTGGGTAAATATATTGCTTAACGATTTTCAACTAGACTCCTCATATTCCTATACAACTTATTCCCTTTTCTGCAAAATCTTGATTAAGAATGATAATTGTTGACGACTTTATGTTTACAAGTAGTTCTTGAGTCTAAGGCGACACTTTGCTTCCCTTTGTGTGATCTAGTACTAGTATAACGAATTGTAGGTATTTATTCGAAATAATGCCCACAGATAGCTTTTACCATCGCATTATTCGCCATCGACAGGGAATTCATCCTTAGACACTGGAACCCAAATGATTACAGTGTAGTTTTAGGGGAGTTTTCTACTGCAAACGCTCACGCTGTGGAATGTGGAGCTCCCTGCCGAGGTTATTCCTAGAAACTACATTATGGGGTTCTTTAAAAAGGAAGTATTAAGGTTTCTTCAGGATCGGCAACATGCATGTGCCAACCCTAGTGTTGCAGGTGTCCATAGGCTATAGTGTCTGTTTACGATCAGATGGGCTATATATGCTTGTTTACCACCTTCAGGGTATGTATTAAAAAACAATCTTACTGACACCAAAGCGATCAATTTACTAGCAATAATCAGTCATGTCACAATATCTATATTAAAAGACTGTCTGTCCTATAGTGGAACCAAAAATACAATATTGCAATATCCATTTTTAAAATAGTAGGTATATATAAAATTTTAACATAACCCAACTGAGGAAACCTATTTGAATTTCGAAAGACTAATGCACTTACAAAGCCAACATTAAAAATAGAAAGACAGAATAGTTTGTTATTGTAGTTTAATAGCAATTTTTTTTAAACAACAGTTTAAAAAAAATTGCTTAAGTTTAACAAAACTTGCTGTGGGAGAATAATATTATACCCCAAGATTAGAAAACTGACTGCTTGTTACCTATCCTTAAACCAAATACATCCATGTTCATCTCAGTTGCATATCATCCTATCCTATAGCTCTTAATTTATGTTTAAAAAAAATGTATGAACAATTACTGAAATAGCATTTAGCTTTATGTAGAACAAAACAATTTATTACCATTAAATCAATTTAGCCACTGTAGAAATCATTCAGCAACGGAAAAATATTTGTCAATCAGTTCAGGATACAATAGGACTTATATATCTGAAGAAGGTAAAAAAAGCTCTTAAAATAATAATATCTTTAGCCACAATCAATCCAGTGATTGCCATTTTCTTTGTTATTGCTGGTGCCTTTAATGGTGTAAATATTGGTTGTCTTGCTGGAATCAAGGAAAAAATACTTGTTGGATTAAAAAAAATTTAAAGTGTAGAGAAATGTATATTAAATACAACAGACATCTTTATGATCCTAGACGTTTATCTATAGGAGGTCCAGGTCCAGGTCCAGGAGGTATTTCATCACCTTTACTTTTTATATTTGTCAATTAAACATTACATTAGGTTACAATGTAAAAAACTTACAATTTGCAGATACTTGTATATACAGGAAATAAGTGTTGATGAATATACAATTTCTAAAATTACTGTTTTGACTTCTATTTTTCTTAAATATCTCCCATGTATAGACATTGTCTTGTTATAGTTTTATTATATTAGTAAGCTATGATGATTCCAAAAAGTAAATATTCTTTTTTAATCTGTTATTTATATTTATAAGTAAGAAAAAAATATTTACATGTATGTGACAAATGTTTAAAATTTTTTAGTGAATGATAATAGAATGGTAACCCCACCTGCACTATCGATATATGCTGGTAGGACATCAGTGAGTGATGATAGATGAGGATGAAAACAGGTTAGTTGGCCTATTGTGACGAATTTATTAAGGATTAATAACCATAATGTTCAGAGGAAAGGGCATGGAGGTCGACCTAAGTTGGTATATGGCTAGCAATTGGGCCCCTAGAATGCATCAATTAATAATTATATCTCTTACCTAAAACTTAATGGCAATCCAATATAGTCCATCCTTGTTGGTTTTGGTTTAACAGTATTCCAAAAACATGTCTGTTGTGTATTGTAATGATTGTCTACTTTCTCCTGTGCGAGAGGTCAAATTCTTAAGTATATAAGAGAAGTAGGGCACAGCAGGACTCTCGCTCATAAATAGAATCGCCCACCTGGGGAAGGACTTCCACCTTGCAGAAGTTCTCAGCCAAACAATGCTATTTTAATAGCGTTGTGTTCCTCCTGTGAGTAAGATTATCAGTTCCATCTTGGGGAGGGGTTGTGCCAATATTGGAGGCACCAGCGTGTTTTAATACTGTCTCTAAAAGCGATCCCACTCAGTTAATCCAAAATTGTAAGAAAACATGTACTTAACAGGCAACTAAAGTGTATGAGGTACATATAAATAGCTAAATGAGATATTAACATATACAATTTCATATATTATAATTATTATACAGATGGATCAAAGAATGATAATGTTAGTATTTTTAGTGCAAAAGTTGTTGTCATTCTATGCACCCTATAAATAAAAAAAAAAATAGTAATTCAGAGTATACAAAAAGGGTCATTGTTTGTGATAGTGTTAGTGTGGAGTACAGGCCACATATATTATTTATAGTTTTTATATAATTATTTACCAAATTCAAATTTGAAATGAATCTGTATTGTTTCCTTTTGGCTTTCCGTCACAGCCCTAGTCCTTTAAGCTCCTTTTGCTAATATACATATGTTTCCAATTTCCATTCATGGTTTCCTTTGTCGCCCACAATGAGTGTTCTAAAAAATTTCCAAATAAAAAATTACATATTAACACTAACATATCACATATATACATACAATTATGTTCACTAATGAAATGAAAAAAAAGACTGGAATTATCAGATTCTAATATTGCCAGTTTTGTGTAAGTATCTTTACATAAAAGTGTTAAAAGAAAGGAAAATGTATATATATATATTGCACTAAAACATACAGTAACAACAATAAGTTAATAATAATGTTAGCAAAGGCGAACTTATCTCTAAAAGAGATTTCTTTCAGTCAACCTAACACAGTGGCATAGGAAGTAGTGAGTGGGCAGTAGTAGTGCAAGACAGAAATTAAAATAAATATATCACTATTGGAATTTTTTTAGATATTATACCTGATGTAAATGTGTCCTGGGTGACGTTAGATGTTAATTCTCTAATAAATGTGTCAAGTCTACCCTGGGAGAGACATTACTGTACCCAGGTATTTCTTAAAACTCTGGATGTTCAAATCAGTACACAGCACACTATGGTTCTGCAATGCAAATGTCTTTTTGAAAAACGTTTTACTCAACTATTTGTGGTATACGTTTTGGTCGGCTACGTCTAAATTATCACTTTAACCGAATAAAAATGCTATATTTTTGTGAATATTGACAATCACAAAGGGTTCAACTTTACACCATCTTTTTCAAGTGTTCATCTTTCAATATTCAGCACCTTGTGTCGTTTATTCAGCTCCTAGAAATTTAAGACAATCCTGAATTAGTCCCGCGGTGCATAGAAAAGTTCCTTAGAAATGCCTCAACATTCAATTATTAATATTTAAAAAGTATATTTTATATAAGTTTAAAACTTGTACATACTAAGTATTAAAAATTCGACCACGTAATAATTCTATATTAAAAGTTTAGAATATTAAAACAAGTACCCTTTCTCATGATTTCAGAACATCTTTCTGTTTTTGATTGACATAGTAGTATTATATTATTTGTGACATAGGCACAGATTAGATAAACTATAAGCATAGCGCACGCCTGCGACAATTATTTGAATGTAGTTTTTCTATAAACCTATGTTACCAAACGGTATTCCATCATGGCGGAACAAGGGCATCATAAATAAACGCCATGATAGGGTTATTTTTGTTTACATACATAATTTGTTTTAAATATTGAAGTAACTAATAGATGTTTTGCAAAATAATGTAGTGTAGACTTAATAATGCAAAATAAATGGCATCTCAGAATTGACTTCAATGTATTGATTACTTCTGTTCAGGTTCGAGTCACTTAAAATATATATATATATTTTTTTATATTAAATATATTACCTTTCTTAACCAATATTAAAAAAAAAAAACTATGTCTCGTCATGACGAATCATGACCATTTTGAATAAATGCCATGTCAGTTGAAATCATTGTATCATTTCAAAAATAGTACTTCACTTATAAACAAATTTTATAAAAGAATACTAAGTAAATTACGTAATAATATACAAAGATGTAAATAGATTTATGCCAAGTTAGAATTAATTGAAAGAACAAGTGACGTTTTCCATACACTTGAACCGGTGAATTCTTTCTAATATTTGTATATTACGAAAGACAAGAGAATACAATTCAAATGTCCTTAGCCTTCTCTGCTTATGGGGCTTACAAGGAGCATATAATTAAAAAATTAAGTTGTCATAATGCTGTCAATCTGTCAATAATACAAATTGACAGCATGTGAATATGTTTTTATATTGAAATGTAAATACATTTTAATATGTTGCCATAAGCATTTGAAATACCAATTATCAATTACATCTTTAGAAAGTAATTGAAATGAATGAATGAATGAATGAATGAACGGTTTATTTTCTCTTCACAAAAGGTGGAATAAAGTAACAACATGAGGTACAATTTGAAATGAAGACCAGTTTTGAGAGACTGGTGCTTGCGGTAGGTTTAGAAGAACCTGTGTTACAAGTCACCAGTGCCCCATCTCCATGGACTACACAAATACAAGGCAACCAATTAGTGTTATAATACACAGATAACAATAATAAGATATAGAGTGCAAGAATAAACTTAACATTAAAACTTATTTCTAGTATATAACTTAGGCAAAGTTAACAAAAAAAAACAAAATACAGACTATGTGTGCGCGCGCGCGTGTGTGTGTGTGTGTGTGTGTGTGTGTGTGCGCGTGTGCGTGTGCGTGTGCGTGTGCGTGGGCGTGTGTGTGTGTGTGTGTGTTCAACCAAATAGAGTAGAGATAGATATATATATAAATACCAAATACGTGTTTGTATTTTAATTATGTATTTTAATTATTTTCTTTATTGGACAGTTATGGATTTAAGTATCTCTTCAGTGACGAGACCTTTATAAGAAATGACACATGCTCGTGTATTGACAATGGTACCAAGTAATAATATCGTATATACAAATATTAACCACAACGGTTTGGCAGATGGATATGCGGGTTTATGTTGCGACATTTCTCTAAAGAAGAAAAAAATAGCCAAAGTTGAGAAAAAAATACTATTACGCAAACAGAGACTGTTCAATGCAGAAACTAAGGAAAAAATCAAAAAAGCCTTGAAGGAGACTAGTTGGAAGATAATGGGAATAAACTGTTTTATAAATCAATTTAACAGAATCTTCAAAGGCTCCTTTCATAAAATAAATAAAAAAAAAAAATCACGAAAAAATCTTGTATTAAATGGATCACAAAAGGTATAAAAGTATCAAGCAAAATGAAGCGCTTCCTTAGTACTGGTAAAAAAGCGTATAAAGACGAAACACATCTATCAAATTATCGTGCAAATTATATACGATTGTACAAAAAAGTAATAAGATATGCTAAAAGACGTGCTGTGCAATCTGAAATAGAAAAATCGTATGATAGCAAACATATTTGGCAGGTAATAAACAGACACAGGAATAAAAAAAAAGTAAGAATAAATCAAAATATAAAACTAATAATAAATGAAAAATTAATCAATGATCCAAAAAAGATTGCAACAGTTTTACTATTACGTATGTTATATTATTGCGAAGGCAGAGGATAATTTGACCACTGGCCTTTGGAAAATTCGAGTCTTTGTTTTGCCGAATAATGCCATCTTTGCCCTTGTATACTTGAGTTACAAGACCAAGAGGCCAATGTAAAGGAGCTACGTTCTCCTGTATTAGAACGACTACCATGCCTATCTGGACAGGATAGGTAGGTGTGTTCCATTTATATCTAATTTGTAACGTATGCAAATATTTGCGATGCCACCTCTTCCAAAACGACTTTACGAGTTGGTCCCACAGTGCGTGTCTTTTTAAGAGATGTGGGGTCGACTCGTTAACATCATAAGCGGGTAAATGTCGTAATGGTATTGTATTTAGAAAATGAGCAGGTGTCAGAGCCTCAGACTTCGATGGATCTAAACTCAATACAGTCAACGGACGAGAGTTTAACAACGATTCTATTTGCGTGAGAATTATTGTAAATTCTTCGAAAGTTAAAGTTTGGAATCCTATAATTCTACTGAGTAGTATTTTAATACATTTTATATTACTTTCCCAGCATCCTCCGAAGTGCGATGCATTAGGTGGGATAAATATCCATTGAATTCCGTTGGTGAATAATTCTTTATCTCAAACCGATCTACAATCGCGATAAAAACAAATAAAGTTCACGCAGGTAGGATCGTGCCTCTATAAAATAAGCGGGATAATTGCACTCTGCTTTGCGGCGTTTTTGGTGCTTTACTTGCCTACAGAGCATAATAAAATTGATGAACCTAGCCACAATCGTAGCGGCGTAACTACCGAGTATATATAAATATTACATGTATAATAAAATGATGTTTCTAAATAGTATAACTATTCAGAAATTATCAAAACTTTTAAAAGCAAACTTATTTATGCGGTTGAATTTTTAACCATATTTATTAATTAATCACAATTACTATCTATTTCGGTATGTATTTATATATGGAATCCTAAGCGTGCGAGTTCCATTCGCATCTGTGCAGGTTTTTATAATTCTTTGTGTTGTTACTTCTTGTTAAAAGCAGATGTTTTTCATTTTCCAGATTTCGTGAATATAATGCTACTGTCAACTCTTATATTGCAGTGATTACTTGCTCTGTGATCAAATTGTGTAAATTTCTGTACACAGTCTAATCTATGTTTCTCGTGTCTGTATTATTCAGTGTCTGTTTCTATAGATGTTCTTTATTTTTTTGTATTAATTCCACAAAACTGAAATACGTACTATCCTGATAAGATTTACTTTTAGTCAATTAATAAATTTGTACAGTCACCAAAGTAATGCAGTAACAATTTTCTACCTCATCATAATACTTCCACAATCGCTTGCTATCGAAGAACTACCAAACTTATCCTATTGACCTGTAACCTGAACAACATTCATAATGGGCAAGGCCACATCTCTGAAAGAGTTATATGCAATATATAAAAAATGGGTAATAAACAATCCTAGTGTGGTAACAGACGTCGAAACAGTGGCTACGTGGTCGTCATATTTCGTTGCTGGAAAGATAAATAAATCGCCGATAGTGTCGGAACTCGTGTATTCTCTATCAAAATTGCTATCATTGTTCAACGACAAGTTAATAAGAGAAGCATACGGCAACGAAGTACATTACTACGGCTTCCGAGAGCAGCTGAAACTATGGCTCACCATTATACACTATACAGAGGTATTTGTTGAATTGGTTGCGAAGGACAGGTGCGCGACACGAGGTAAATGGACCGTTGCCACTTTGCTGCAGTTATTCAAGTGTTCCTCAGCACTAATACTGCTATTCAGATACAAGGAGCTTCCCATACAGCACCCCCCAATACCTTCATTGCAAAGGAAACAGTACACTGATGGTAAAGAAACAGATGAAAATTCCAATGCATTTTTCACATTACGTAGGTCAGGTCGAGTTATACGCAGGGTTGATGGTGCACCCCCAGTGGCGTTCCGGGATTGGCAACCTATCAAAGTTAAAGATGACTCTGCAGCTTTGAATATAGAAGGCAAAGATTTAGTGTATGCGGAATCATTGCATATATTAAAGCCATTAGTACATCTCGCCACTATGAGGTTGTTTGGTACGAGAGCATGGAAACAGTGGTTAGTAGCTCTATTCATTGATCTAGCCAGTATGAGGCTTTATAATCGGCATATGAAGGAACTGTCATACGAACAGAGGCTCGAGATAAGTCGAAGAAAGCTTGGCTTGGTCCTGTACTTGTTAAGGAGTCCGATGTACAATGGTTATTCTAAAAACGTCATAGAAAACACACTGACCTCAGTATCAAACAAGGTGCCATTTATGTCATTCTTATGCGGACCTATCATTCAGTATCTGAGCCATTGGCAAGATATTTATTTCTATATGTGGGCCTCGTAGATTATATTTGCATGTGTATTGCTGCTCTTAAATATTGGTGTGGGTTTAGTTACTAATTGTATGTCTTTTATATTGAATCCCAGGCCCTTTGTTGTATTTCACTGTCATATGTAAAGGATCATAAATATATTTTTTTTAATGGTATCCCCACCTGTGTCAAAGCTGTACACTGGCGGGGCACCAGTGAGGGATGATATTCCAAAAGTGATGAATATACTTGGAATTCAGCACAATGGTTTTCAGGGGGACCACGAGGTGGTTGACCTGAATAGATACCCTATTGTTAGCAATGGGATTGGTAATCAATATTACTAACAATCCCTTCCCCCTACATGTGTGCATTTTAAAAACACAAATATGGTGTGTTTACTTAGTATAACCTTTTCTATCATTGTACCAAGCCTTTTTAAGGGTAGACAGACAGGACTGAATGCCAAAGATCATTATCATCGCACATCCTCTTGTTTCTTAACTCATGTAATGCATTATTACGGGTTTTGAAATTAAATCCTCTGTCAGTTAGCATATGTCTATCTGATTGTTATAGGATTAGCTAGACCTCCATTCTTTTACTTATACATCCTTAAATAATATTATAAATGCGAAAGTGAGTTTGTTTGTTACGTTTTCACATATAAACCACTACATCAATCAAGGAGATGGTTATGAACTACTTTTCTCCCTGTCGATAAACATATTTCAGTCTCACCATCGAAGTTGCAGGTAAAAGTCAGTTATATATATATATATATATATATATATATTTATATCTTTTTTGAAGAGCTTTTCAATTGATTTTCCTTTTTATACATGTGACAGTGTATATAATTATATACAGGCATATAATCCATATAGACAAAGTAAAATATGAACAGTCATTTGGATGGATATATGAATTATATTATTATCATAGTTTCGAAATAGAATTATTCTGGATCAAAGTTTACATAGATTCTCTTATGAAGTTTGATTATCCCTTAACAATATTCTTAATAAAATTTCACCTTACCCATCTATACCCACTGTAAAATTATTGGATTTGGTTAAATGTTGTTTTTAGAGGGTTATGTTTGATAAATGAGAGCAGAGTTGTTAGTTGTTCGGTAATAATTGTATAGAGTATAGTATTAAGGAATTAATTGTAATTTTACTTACAAGGAATGGGTAGTGTTAAGCAAGGGTCGAACCTTAGGGTTGAGCATGGTACAAGAAATTTCACAAAACATGATAATAAGCTTTATTTGATTTATTGTAATAATTTTTAATGTTTAAATATTTATTTATAATTGAATGCTTGACAATTTATTAATTTCAATTTGTTATTATAGAAATATTATAAAAAAAATAATATGATTTTCAATTGCAGAATAATTATTGGTATATAATTTTTTACTAGTTAGGTTATAAAGTTTTTATATGGATGTGATGTATTGAAATGAATTGGGTAAATATTTTAAACAAATATTAGATCGAACATTCATATGAGTAAATAAGTAGCTAGGTAGGTAACTAATACAGTAGAATCTTGATTATCGAAATCAAAACCAGCGGATCTACCATGAAATGAAATTCCAAAATCGGACCAATAAATGGAGTTTAACATTTCGATTGTCATACATTCTATCATAAAAGTCCAAAGGATTTTAATATTTTTAATATTTCCAAACGGCATGTATTATGTAATTTTAACATCAAATTTGTGTTTCGTTGGGCTCCGAAATTTCGGAAAACATTTCACGGTCGTATAATCGAAAATCCGGATAATCGATTTGAAAGTCAAATCAAACAATATATTTTTTTTATTATGTAAAGGGTTTTACATACGTCATTTAGACAATACGGTATGAAAAAAGTTATGACCTATATAGATAATGGATTACATAATATCTATTTAACCAATTAATACATAATACTATTTCTAAATAGGTAATTAGAGCGGTGAAGAATAAGTACGGATAATCGAATATTCGGATAATCGATAATTGAATAATCGAGGTTATATTTTTTATCAATTGTCACACTTCCTTTGCAAGTTCCTTAAAATCTCGCTTCAACAAGCCGAGTTATTTTTAGTATCTGTTTATTTACGTCTAATATTACCTGTGCTGTATCAAATACCACATTCGGTATACAATTTTACTTTTATTTATTAATTGGATAAATGGTATGTAATTTGTGGTACAAGATAGTGTTCCGTTTTTATTATACTTAACCCAAGATAACTTATTAAATTCGAATGAGAATCTTCACAATTAAATTAATTGGGAATTTTAACTATGAATATGTAATTATGAGACGCAAATGTGTGTTAGTTTATAAATTTTTAATAATTATTTATATTTGATTATATATTTTTTATTATACTTATACATTCCACGTTTTATTCAAATTGGGGTCGGTTCTGAAATGTTATGTTTTTTTATTTCTAAAACTGATTTTACCATTATATTACAGTGTAATGATTCTAAGGACCAAAATAAACTAAATTTATATTAATACATTTATTATTTAATATGTATTATTAACATAGTCAGTTCTCAGTGATTCATAGTATACCTAATAGTTCTGCAAAAATACAAAAATAAAATATTAATTTTGGGGAATGGTGTGAGACTGTATCGACTCCATTCTCTTTACTTACAATTGATTATAATTATTTAGAACGTCGCTTATCTCGTACGTACTGTGGTTTTATCGCGTACAACTATGTATACCTATTTATTTTTAATATCAACAATTTAATGTTGACTTAATCATTGAAATCATATCTAAAAATAATGAGAGGTTGTGTCATAAACGGTTTTTTAGGGACATGTCGTGCGGAAGAATTGATATTGAATTGATTTGTAATTAATTGTATGTCCATGGCTTTTTAATATGATAACATAACTAAAGGACCATTATGTACTCGTATTACCTAATTAAGAGGATGCACACTATAAGCTTGGTAATGAATTACCTTGTATGAAATAATCTTGGCTTTGTACAAAAGTCGATTGCTTGGGTACCTCTGTCCTATTCGTGTTTCAACCCTGAAGCAGTGTGTTTGCATGGCTGTGTTTCGGTTTGAAGAGTGGGATATGGCGTGAATTTACTGGGTACAGAGGAGTAATAACTGAGTCCTCAGGAATGGCAACGCATGGTGGGTATCATGGGCGAAACAGTATACTCTGTTATGTCCATGGTACTGCTCATGTCTATAGGCGACGGTTACCACTTTCCATCAGGTGGGCCGTTAGGTTGTTTGTCATTTTAAGTTGTGTGTATATATATATATATATACCCATTCTTAAACATCATCTCACACGCATATATTATTTATTTTTTTTATAACATTGGAGGCAAATTAGCATGCGGCTCACCTGATGGTAAGTGACTACCGTCGCTTATGATCACACCAGAGGCATTGCAGATGTGCCGCCGCCCTTATATTAGAAAACCATAGTTTTTATTATATTTATTAGTAGGTAACATTTTGTAACAAAGTATTGAAGAGTGGCGCCCCCTGGTACAGACATTTTAGTAGGATTTATTAATGTCAATTGTATCACTGGAATAAATACCTTATGATTTTTCTTATTAGAGTCATTGTCAAACATACGGTGTGCAACATTATATACAAATCTGCCAACAAATATGTCCAATGTTTGTGAATTTTTGTATAAGTTGTGTACTTATACAACCTGTATGTGTTTTAGTGTCCAATTTTATATATTTTATTATGGTTGGATTAAAATTTACGCTATAATTCTATCTCGTCAGACTGAAAAGCTCCAGACCTCTAAACAAGCGGCAAACTAATCTATTGATAGAATCGGTACCGCTAGCGACTTCATGACAGTTCTGTCATTCATGACAGGATTGTCATGAAGTCTAGCGGCGACGTCGGATATCTCATTCTTTCTCATGCGAGTGCTGTAATGGTTCTGTTGTTAGTTTTCTTTGCTACTTGTCAAGAGAGGTCTGAAAGGAATGTTAGTTTGTCCGGGAATATCTGCATGTAATTATAAAACAAAACTCGTGTATGGGCTAATGAGAGTAGGAGCTCGGTACTGTGTTAAAATAATATACGTGAAATTTTATATTTTTTTAATTGCTTCTTATTAGAACATTGAATTGTGATTGACTATTGTGACATAAATATTTTTTTAAATTCGAAATACAAATTGTGAAATAATCTAGTACCGATGTTTTTGGTAGTAAGGTGGTGGTTGGTAATGTATGGTTTGGTACCGACAGACCGACTCTAGGCAAGTGGTAACAAGTCTTGCTAAATATGTTTACGCTACCACACTATTTGTCGGATGAAGGCATTTTTTAGTTGACAAAAATGGATGACTTACACCGATGGAGCACCAGTGAGAGGATAGGTGAATGTGCGGTCAAGTCATTTGGATCATTGTGACCTGTAAAATTTTGCTTCTTGGAGGGACCACATGGAGGTCGATCTGACAGAGTGTGTTACAGTACGAGGAGGAAATAGTGGCGGAATTATACATTTAACCGCCAGTTTATTTAGCCCAGTTTACAATTATATTCATTGTAATTTTTTTATTAATGAAATTGTAACTTTATAAAAAAAAATGGTTTTTGCCTTTCTCAGCTAGCTGGTAAATTCGCCATTGGAGTTATTACTAATAGTCACTCGCCTGTCGGATATTGATCTTTTTATTCTTTTTCATGAGCGTGGTAGCGTAAACGGATCTATAGGTCTAATTGTAGATCATGTCCCACTTGTCTAGAGAGTGCTGTGTTGATTAACTCAAAATTTTTGGTTTTATAATATGCGGTCTGTTAGTAGGCAGCCAATGTTTAGATTATTTGAATGCTTTACTTGTAAACCTAATTACGTAGTACCCAGTTTGTTAGACCAGTACTTTTTGATACTATGTTTATTATTGTATTAATGAAATGTTGGAAAATAAAAAACATATTTGATTTATTAACTATTTTATTTCACCTTAGTATAAACAATGACACATTTAAAAAAAACGTCAAAGTTATTATCAACTCAATAGTAATTTCAACATGGCATAATAAGAGATGCATATAATGTTTCCTTATATAAAGTAATTTAAAGGCAATTTATAATTAGTATGTAATCAGAGAATGGACGTCTTTGCCTCAATTTTTAAAACTCTTAAAAATAGATACTTTTTTTCAAAATAGGAATGCTAAAGGCCTGTTCCATAAACAATATGGAGGCCTTTAAATATTATCTATTAATTGGAAAAAAAAATGGTAGCTTATATTTCATACAACGCTTAGAATGTGTGAAAAGCAATATCGAGTCTACATAAGGATTGAACATTTAAGTAATTTAGCTAATCTCACTTATTTTTAAATACTCTGCGCGTTGTAGCATATATATTAAAATTTACTTATTGCGAATCAGGCCTAAGTATTTGAATTTCGATTTAACATCAATACATTTATATATCGAATAGTTTTTATTAATAAAAAAAAGGTATGCAAAAAATAGGTTTTAATAGATACTCGAAATCACATTTGGTATTTAATAAATATTACAACATATCGTGAGATTATACCCATGTAGCTAAAGCTGGCGATTGACCGTTATTTTTGAACATAAAGTAACATATTGCTAATTGCAGATTAGCTGTTTCAAGTGCACATTGTTCAGTAAACAAGTAGATATTGTTTTAAGATAACTTATTAAATTCGAATGAGAATCTTCACAATTAAATTAATTGGGAATTTTAACTATGAATATGTAATTATGAGACGCAAATGTGTGTTAGTTTATAAATTTTTAATAATTATTTATATTTGATTATATATTTTTTATTATACTTATACATTCCACGTTTTATTCAAATTGGGGTCGGTTCTGAAATGTTATGTTTTTTTATTTCTAAAACTGATTTTACCATTATATTACAGTGTAATGATTCTAAGGACCAAAATAAACTAAATTTATATTAATACATTTATTATTTAATATGTATTATTAACATAGTCAGTTCTCAGTGATTCATAGTATACCTAATAGTTCTGCAAAAATACAAAAATAAAATATTAATTTTGGGGAATGGTGTGAGACTGTATCGACTCCATTCTCTTTACTTACAATTGATTATAATTATTTAGAACGTCGCTTATCTCGTACGTACTGTGGTTTTATCGCGTACAACTATGTATACCTATTTATTTTTAATATCAACAATTTAATGTTGACTTAATCATTGAAATCATATCTAAAAATAATGAGAGGTTGTGTCATAAACGGTTTTTTAGGGACATGTCGTGCGGAAGAATTGATATTGAATTGATTTGTAATTAATTGTATGTCCATGGCTTTTTAATATGATAACATAACTAAAGGACCATTATGTACTCGTATTACCTAATTAAGAGGATGCACACTATAAGCTTGGTAATGAATTACCTTGTATGAAATAATCTTGGCTTTGTACAAAAGTCGATTGCTTGGGTACCTCTGTCCTATTCGTGTTTCAACCCTGAAGCAGTGTGTTTGCATGGCTGTGTTTCGGTTTGAAGAGTGGGATATGGCGTGAATTTACTGGGTACAGAGGAGTAATAACTGAGTCCTCAGGAATGGCAACGCATGGTGGGTATCATGGGCGAAACAGTATACTCTGTTATGTCCATGGTACTGCTCATGTCTATAGGCGACGGTTACCACTTTCCATCAGGTGGGCCGTTAGGTTGTTTGTCATTTTAAGTTGTGTGTATATATATATATATATACCCATTCTTAAACATCATCTCACACGCATATATTATTTATTTTTTTTATAACATTGGAGGCAAATTAGCATGCGGCTCACCTGATGGTAAGTGACTACCGTCGCTTATGATCACACCAGAGGCATTGCAGATGTGCCGCCGCCCTTATATTAGAAAACCATAGTTTTTATTATATTTATTAGTAGGTAACATTTTGTAACAAAGTATTGAAGAGTGGCGCCCCCTGGTACAGACATTTTAGTAGGATTTATTAATGTCAATTGTATCACTGGAATAAATACCTTATGATTTTTCTTATTAGAGTCATTGTCAAACATACGGTGTGCAACATTATATACAAATCTGCCAACAAATATGTCCAATGTTTGTGAATTTTTGTATAAGTTGTGTACTTATACAACCTGTATGTGTTTTAGTGTCCAATTTTATATATTTTATTATGGTTGGATTAAAATTTACGCTATAATTCTATCTCGTCAGACTGAAAAGCTCCAGACCTCTAAACAAGCGGCAAACTAATCTATTGATAGAATCGGTACCGCTAGCGACTTCATGACAGTTCTGTCATTCATGACAGGATTGTCATGAAGTCTAGCGGCGACGTCGGATATCTCATTCTTTCTCATGCGAGTGCTGTAATGGTTCTGTTGTTAGTTTTCTTTGCTACTTGTCAAGAGAGGTCTGAAAGGAATGTTAGTTTGTCCGGGAATATCTGCATGTAATTATAAAACAAAACTCGTGTATGGGCTAATGAGAGTAGGAGCTCGGTACTGTGTTAAAATAATATACGTGAAATTTTATATTTTTTTAATTGCTTCTTATTAGAACATTGAATTGTGATTGACTATTGTGACATAAATATTTTTTTAAATTCGAAATACAAATTGTGAAATAATCTAGTACCGATGTTTTTGGTAGTAAGGTGGTGGTTGGTAATGTATGGTTTGGTACCGACAGACCGACTCTAGGCAAGTGGTAACAAGTCTTGCTAAATATGTTTACGCTACCACACTATTTGTCGGATGAAGGCATTTTTTAGTTGACAAAAATGGATGACTTACACCGATGGAGCACCAGTGAGAGGATAGGTGAATGTGCGGTCAAGTCATTTGGATCATTGTGACCTGTAAAATTTTGCTTCTTGGAGGGACCACATGGAGGTCGATCTGACAGAGTGTGTTACAGTACGAGGAGGAAATAGTGGCGGAATTATACATTTAACCGCCAGTTTATTTAGCCCAGTTTACAATTATATTCATTGTAATTTTTTTATTAATGAAATTGTAACTTTATAAAAAAAAATGGTTTTTGCCTTTCTCAGCTAGCTGGTAAATTCGCCATTGGAGTTATTACTAATAGTCACTCGCCTGTCGGATATTGATCTTTTTATTCTTTTTCATGAGCGTGGTAGCGTAAACGGATCTATAGGTCTAATTGTAGATCATGTCCCACTTGTCTAGAGAGTGCTGTGTTGATTAACTCAAAATTTTTGGTTTTATAATATGCGGTCTGTTAGTAGGCAGCCAATGTTTAGATTATTTGAATGCTTTACTTGTAAACCTAATTACGTAGTACCCAGTTTGTTAGACCAGTACTTTTTGATACTATGTTTATTATTGTATTAATGAAATGTTGGAAAATAAAAAACATATTTGATTTATTAACTATTTTATTTCACCTTAGTATAAACAATGACACATTTAAAAAAAACGTCAAAGTTATTATCAACTCAATAGTAATTTCAACATGGCATAATAAGAGATGCATATAATGTTTCCTTATATAAAGTAATTTAAAGGCAATTTATAATTAGTATGTAATCAGAGAATGGACGTCTTTGCCTCAATTTTTAAAACTCTTAAAAATAGATACTTTTTTTCAAAATAGGAATGCTAAAGGCCTGTTCCATAAACAATATGGAGGCCTTTAAATATTATCTATTAATTGGAAAAAAAAATGGTAGCTTATATTTCATACAACGCTTAGAATGTGTGAAAAGCAATATCGAGTCTACATAAGGATTGAACATTTAAGTAATTTAGCTAATCTCACTTATTTTTAAATACTCTGCGCGTTGTAGCATATATATTAAAATTTACTTATTGCGAATCAGGCCTAAGTATTTGAATTTCGATTTAACATCAATACATTTATATATCGAATAGTTTTTATTAATAAAAAAAAGGTATGCAAAAAATAGGTTTTAATAGATACTCGAAATCACATTTGGTATTTAATAAATATTACAACATATCGTGAGATTATACCCATGTAGCTAAAGCTGGCGATTGACCGTTATTTTTGAACATAAAGTAACATATTGCTAATTGCAGATTAGCTGTTTCAAGTGCACATTGTTCAGTAAACAAGTAGATATTGTTTTACAAAAGGAAAATTTGTGCAAAACCGGTTATTTTGCTATAAAAACTAAACAACTAAATAAATTGATTCCGATAAAATTTGTATGGTACCAATCTGTAAGTCTTATCAGATAAAATGATATACTTTCAGATAAAAAAAGAATTATCCACATCGGTTTATATTTTTTTTTATTTAACTTCATACATGAAAAAAATCAGAAAAGGCAAATTAACAAAAAAAAAATGGCGGACATTACACCTGAAGGCGTTCTCTAACTTGTCAACAATGGAGCATACAGAAGTGTTTGAAGGTTGGTAAGTATTTTAAAATAAAAGGGAACTATATAAAAACACATGCAATAATATATATTATATAGATAAATGAATAAATATACATAAATAGATATAATTAAAAACAATTTTACATAATTTTATACGAGATTGTATTTAAATTAAAAAAATAAAGCAGTTCTGAGGTAAGAAACATAAAATAAACCACAGACCTAACTTGTTACATGTAAGTTGTAATTTGTTCGTGTCACGGGCAAACGATCGCTATCAGAATTGTAGTGTGATGGTGAGACTGCTCACTACACCTAATTTAAAAGGCGGCTGTACCGCTACCGGTGATGATTTAGGACGGTGCTTCCTAACGTCCACGCCCCCCAGGGGGGGCAATTTGATAGTTAAGGGGGGGAAGGGAATTAAAAAATGGACTCGAAGTGATTTTAACCCTCTTGCTCCGAGCCATTTAAATGCAATGTTATGAGTTGATATCAATGCCAAACTTAACAAAAAAAAAGTAAATAAAAAAATTTCTGTAAATATTTATTAGCTTTAATTTCGTTGGACGTTACCAAAATATCAACTGGGCGATTAGAGTTGTCAAGTAAACTTTGTCGTAAAGTAAAATTATGTATGGGGACATAAAAATTTTAGAAATGCTCAAGTGGGACATGGCCTAAAAAAATATTGGGAAACACTAGGAGTTTCTCCTCAGAATCGCATTCAGGGATTAATAGCATGCTGCAGCATGTTCAGGAGGCGGACAAGCGATCGCTATCGGAGCCAGAGGCCGGCTTCTCTAAGAACTTATTTAAGGGGGTTTAAATAAGCATGCGACTCGCCTGATGGTTATCACAGACCACTTCAAGACCTTTTAGATACCTCTAAAATGTGATACCATCTTTTTAGTATTAGCAATCGTTAAAGATGTATGTAAACTATGTCAATGCAGCTCAGCCTTTATTAAGACTGTCTGATTATGGGGAAAGGGGTTGTTAGTAAATGGGCTTTAACAGATCCCTTGCTAGCAATATACCTATCAGGTGGATCTCTACGCGGTTTCCTCTGAAAACCATAGTGGTTAATTCTTGAATTCATCACGATGGGCACTGAACAGCTTTCATTGACATCTATCATCCCTCATTGGTGCCCCGCCAGTGTATGGCGATAGTGCAGGCTACTACTATTCCATTAGCACCCATTAAGAAAATCTCTCTCTTACTCTCTCGCTCTTTCTTACTATAACGAATGTACAATCTTTACATCTCTTTCTAAATACCGAACTGAAATTATAAAATAAATATTATTTATATAAACAATTTTTAATAATCTAAACTTACTGTAAAGAAATTGTTTAAGACAGTGTCTTTCAAAGGTCGATACCCAACCCCATGGGGTTTTTTTTGTTTTGATGGGTGAAAATGGTATGGTAACCCCGCCTTCGCTAACGGGATACGCTGGCGGAGCACCAGTGAAGGGTGATAGATGAGAATGAAAACAGGCCAGTTAGCCCGTCATGATGAATTCATTAGGAATTAACCATGATAGTTTCCAGGGGGAGCCGCGAGGAGGTCGACTTGGTTGGGTATATTGCTAGCAATAGGATTCTCAGTTTCCATTATTAACAATGCCTTTTCCCCCACCCCATGGGGGTCACGTAGGGTCAAGACTTTAAATATTTTATTACATGGAGTTTTTCACTTACTAAACTGCAGAGAAAGTAAAATAAAGAAGAGAACAAGAGCTATAATGTAGAACCAGGTAAGTTAAGACTTTAGTTCACTATCTCATGTTTGTTTGATAAGCAAAAATTGCAATAGGAGACGATTAACTTGACTAGATCTTTTTCAACCGACTTCTAAAACAAGAAGTAATGTTTATTACCTCATAACTTCGTCAGTAATAAACTGATTTGGAATATTCTTTTTTTATCTGAAATGATGTACTTACAGAGTGATCAGAAAAAAAAATTAGACTCTATTAATGAATACTAACAGCAGTTTAAGTTAATTGACATACCTACTTTATATTCACATGATACATACGCTTTTAGTGTGCGGGAATCGAATCCGCAACCATTGAAGTTGGTCAGTGTATGAAATTGCTACGCCAGCAAGGTTGTATTACAGTGTTATGTTTGATCCATTTTCTACGTTTGAGGAAAATTGTTTAGTTTCATAAAATATATACTCATATTAAAGTTTAATATATTTATTTCATTACAAATTACACTAGGACACAATGCTAGGCTCGGCCCTTGCCACACTGAATTAGTGTGATCAGCGAAACGTGAGCAATAAATAGGGCATAAGTCGAGTAATGCCTCTGACCACCTCGTCTAGGAATACAATCGTGATCATACTACTCTTTGAAAGAAATGGGTAAATTAGCAGTAACAAAAAAAAAATGTTGAATACATAAAATTTATTTAAAACTAGCTGCATTCCATGGTTTTCCCTGCGAGTACATAAAGTACTCTATCTGTCAATCACAGTCTAAGTTCAAAACTGACAAATTATTACTATAAGCAAATAATTATTTTCGTCCATAAAATATACCTTTTTTTTTTTTAACTATTCGAAAACCTTTAGGAGCCCATATTTTACAACATAGTTAATCTATATAATTAAATAACGCACCATCCATTTTCGATCGCAAAAAATACTTTTACAATACGCAATATAAAAAATAATGTACGCTTAGACAATATATATGTATATATATATATTATATATTTAACAGAATGTATAATTTTACAACACAATTTTATTACATTAATATAATTTTATAATAACATCTATCTATTTTGTTTTCAATAACAATTCAAAATATATTTATCCCTCTCACTTATAAACGTCAAAGAAATTTAATAGAACGTCAATATTTTTTGTGTGTATTTTAAAGTAAATAACACATTATTTTTTGGTGTCGATTCTGAGGTGGTATTTCTCTAAACTAATTTACAAAAGAAATATATTAATTTGACAGTTTCTCAAAATTACTGTTTCGTGAACTAACATAAATTAAATTTACAATAATTTTCAATTAAATTTATTAGAAATTTAGCTCATATTATCTATTTTTAGAGAAATGGCTCAGTATCGATATGCCGTTGCCTGTTGAACAGCGCAATTTTATAAGCATGGGGGCCATTATGTTTTAAATGCAATATACAATTTTTAGGCGGCAAAATAGGTGTTGCCAGCTATCTAAATTGTAGCCAACTTGAAAAATTTTTACAATACAAAACGGCTGGCTGTTTGCGACGGATCAACGGTCAGATAGTTTGCTATTGCGATACATTTTTTAATGGGATAAAATTGGAATGATGAATGACCTGTCATCCCTCACTGATATCCATTTAAGCCGATAGTACAAGCATGATTATTGATCTACTTTCATTTTAAAAAAGACACTCTGTAGTAGAATGTTATGGTACTATTGAAAGTTCAAAATATAGTCAAGACTTCGTATAATTTCATTTGATCCATAGCAGCTTGCCATATTGCATTGCGGCGAAATAATTTGTCTTTCACATTTAAATATACACGTCTATATCAAATCAAATTTAATATTACCAACACTCTGTGGATTTTTTGTATATTTATTTATTATTCATTGCAACACTTTCGTTCCGCCATAATACAGAACAGTTTGTATTATGAATTTGTATTTTGTATTACAGCGAAATAATTTCACATTCACATTTATACATACACGTATATATATATATATATATATATATATATATATATATATATATATATATATATATATATATATATATATATATATATATATACACGATCAAATGTAACACTTATGAAACACTCAGTGCATGTTTTCATAGATTTAATTCATCCCGACAGCAGTATTAATATATACACAGTACTTAAAACTATTATGAACTCATTTTTTTTTATCATACATTGTCACCAATGAACATTCCCCTCACTTATAAACGCTATTTCTTGTGTGTGTGTGTGTGTGTGTGTGTTTTTTTAATTAAATTCATATTAAATCTCAAACGAGTCTTACAGAGTAGCGAGTTTTTTAATTTTTATAAGTAAGGGGGCATAATAATGCAAATTAAAGTTTGTATGCAAAAGTTGTGATTGGATCATGCCACACAGTAACATATTGTTGTTTGTTTGTTAAAAGCACTATTCACACATATCTGGATCAGAGTCGAGGCAGTGACGAGAAAAAACTGGTATAGTTTCGTGTCAAACATTATCGGGCTGTCAGTAGGTACATAGATTATAAATTAAATAAATGATTTGGAGTATGTTCATGCACATGCCCTTACAGCTGCTTAGAAAGGTATGAAAGGTATAGTATATATATATATATATATATATATATATATATATATATATATATATATATATATATATATAAGATATCTTTATTCATTTCGATCGGGTGTTTTAATCCAATATTGTATATTGCATTGGTTATTGGGACAATATATAGTTGTTGTAACTATAATATATTCCTTTCAGACCCAAGATTATTTTTCTTTCAGATTAAATATATTCTCGTGTTTGGAAGCCAAGCCATCTCGCCGGCACGCACGAGACTACTGCACCACCTAACCGCTAAAATGATTTCTTATTGGCTGGTTTAGAATCTCGCTATCATGTTATTTCAGCTTCGTGCGTAAAAATGAATTGCGCGCGGTTTTAGAATTTGTTAAAGTTACAACTCACGCCCGTATCGTTCAGGTCTGAAAGGGATATAAATATTGCTATAATTATATTACCCAAACTCATACTAAAAGAGAATAATAACGACAGATTTACATATCAATGTATAAATGATGAAGTATTGTTTCTTTAGGACCATAAGCATTTCAGTGACATGAGTAATCGATGGCACATATTTGATGGGATACATAGCTCGAACGAGCAGGAACTTGGAAAGACTCGGAGTTGTGTGAATGGTGCTCAAAGTCGAATTTTTTATAAGACTGTCATCTGATTGGACATAATTGGGAAATATTTCACACAGCTATATTATATTAATAGTGACGTACATAAGTATATATGAGTGCGATGTTGAAAGGTTTACACCTACATTTATAATTAACATTTATGCATACGAAAATATATTTAATAAACTTACAGTGGATTAAAACTAATAATTAAATGTTTGCTATAATAACGCGTTCTAGGAACGACATTGTACCCTCAGTTTAAGGAGTATATTGCACTATTAAACATATAGGATTATATGTACTATAGTCACAGATGATGAGAAATTAAGAAAGTGTGGCGTATCTCCTTTTACATGGGAGGTGATAGCGATGTTTTATAATACGTGGATACGGCCCGAGGACCCCATTTCCAGTACAGAACCTTTGAATTTTTTAGGTCCACGTTTCGATGCTATAAAAATGTCACTGGCTGAGTTTGAGCAGGGTAAATAAAGCTGTTGTACATAAATGGCAGTGATAAGGTCTCACAGCCACATTGCTAGCAATATATTGTATTTATTTTCCACTTAATTGCACATAGTAAAATAAATAAAAAATACAGTCAATATTAATGAGAAGTGATACAAAACACGGCATTATCGCTAAGCAATCTCTTCCAGACAACCTTTGGGTAGAGGACATTAAGAAAAAGACGAAGGATAGACGGCGCACTATCATACAAATACAAACACACACACACACATCCATACATATTTAATATGCCGAATTTAATAGATGTTTTGAAGCTAGTAAGAGTTTAAGCGCACCAAATAGAGGTAGGCAGAGAGTTCCATAGGCGAACTGCCTGAACAGTAAAGGATTTAGAATAAAAGGACGAAGAATGAGCGGGAAATTTGAGTCGGAGGTTATTGACACTGCGTAAAGTATGATCATTAGGCTCACAGCCTAATATATCCTAACAGGTCTTATTTTTAATGGATGAAAATGAAGTAGTTACCCTGCTTGGGCTTTTGCTTAATACTGCCTAGCACTAGTGAACAATAACAGATGATGAAATTAGTTCATCATCGACCGCCATGTGGTACCCCCTGGAAACTATCGTGGTTAATTATTGTGGAATTCATCACGATGGGCTAATGGAGATGCTTCATCTTCATCTATCATTCTTCACTAGTAACCAGGCGGGGTAATGATTTGATGTTGGTGGGGGGCAATGGGATTGTTAGAAATTGGGTCTAGTAGTCACATTGCTAGCTATATACACTAATCAGCCCGATCTTAATACCGGCTGGCTTTTTTTTATACGACCTAGAATGGCAAACAAGCTGACGGCCCACCTGATGGGAAGTGGAAACCTTCGCTTATAGATATGAGCAGTACCATGGAGCTAACAGTACACACACATACTGTTTCGTCCATGATACCCCCCATGCGTTGTCTTAAATCCTTCAATAGCAGAGGGCGCCACACTCACTTAATACTACTAAATTGTACAAGAAGACAATTTAATTATATTGAAAGTTGTTCAATTGAAATTTGAACTCACATTTAATAGTACAATATCACTATACGTAAATAAAAAAAAAAAAAAATTGCCATAACTAAAAAATATACGTGAAACTTAAGATATAATAATGAAATCAGATTTATATACGTGCGATAGTATCTGTACGTTGTACATGTCAGTGTGGGGTTCGCTGTACTGTACAATAAGAATAAATCTCGTATAAACTCACGTAATGTACAATTTGGAGGGACGAAAGGTTGTATGTCCACAACTTGGCTTCTCATATAGAATTGAACTGTAGCATGAAAGGATGTCTCTGTGTGTCTCCAAACTGCAACGAGCTGGAATGTGAGAACCAGTAGTTTAGTTTTTTTCTACGCAACTTAGAATAGCAAACAAGCTGACGGCCCACCTGATGGAAAGTGGTAACCGTCGCCTATAGACATAAGTAGTAACATGGACATAACAGAGTATAATGTTTTAGACTAACAGATGTATTGAGTTTTTTATGCAACTTAGAATAGCAAACAAGCTGACGGCCTACCTGATGGAAATTGATAACTGTCGCCAATAGACATAAGTAGTAACATGGACATAATAGAGTATACTGTTTCAGACTACTTTAACGGAGAACCGTTTTAACTAGGGTGCACTATATTTTTAACCGACTTCAAAAAAGTAGATTCTCAATTTGGTTGTATCTTTATAATATTGTGTGTAACATACCATAGCTATGTTAATTATAAAGTGATTTAGAAAATTATTATACTTTAAGATTGGTCATTCTACGTTGTTAGGTTAAAGATATGGTCTAAAAAAGAGCTGGCTGGAAGAGAATACATGAATGAACCACTTTTAAAGACAAAAGGAAACAATTAAAAAAAAAAAACTTAAGTATTCTAATTAATTGAACTCACGGGATATTTAATTGTTGAGCCAGTCCCACGAGTCGTCGTCGCTCTTCTTCTTAATGGTGATGCTCTTGATGTCCGGCGGGGGGCTGGACACGCCCACCTGGGAGAGGTCGCGCGCGTCCAAGTTGTTGCGGGTCGTCACGGACTCCTTCCACGGCTGGGTCTGTTCATTCCTGTTTACGCATTTCCATAAGAGCCAAGTTCAAATAGTCTACCACTACATAAACTATTTATTTAATAAATCAAATATATTAAGAGGATGTAGGAACGTTTTCGTTTGAAAATTTTTTACTAAATTACTTATACTAAAGAAATAAACATACATATACGCGTACACGCACACACATACAGACGGACAGACAGACAGAGACATAAATAGACAGACAGACAAACAAATAAACAGACAGATTAATATAATGTGCTCAGAGGAATTGTTCAATATGATGCCCACGGCCACTTTCTACCATCTTACAGCTCTCTAACGACAGGGAGATCACACCTATATCTTAGAATCTAGATGGTTACATACAGAGCGGTTTCAGATATGTTTCCTTCTACGAACGTTCAGGTTATGGAATGAGCCCTGTCGAGGTTTTTCCAAGAGACTAAAGAATGAGGTTCTTCAAAAAAAGGGATAAAGAGGTTTCTTCAGAGTCGCGTAATGTCTCTGGTATTGCAGGGGTTCATAGGCTACGGTAACCGTTTACCATCAAGTGGGCCGTATGCTTGTTTGACACCTCAGTGGTATAAAAAAATATTATATTAATTGTACACATTTTCCTGTACAATTTCTTTATAAAAATGCATATTGCGAAGTGAACTGCTTACGATGGGGTTGGTTTGTGACGTATACCTATTTTAATTGATTGAAAAATGGAATTCAGTATAGAAATATTAAAAAAACAAACAAAGAGATTAAGATAGATAAAGTGGGGCGACACGTTGACCCGGTACGTGAAGTGCTAAATTGGCAATTAATCAATCACATAATATAATAATATTGTTGACACTAATCACAGACCTACTAATACGTATTAACATCAAATGAGATGAAGTACGATAATTGACATGAAATTGTTATTGACAAATTTTTTTTTTAATAAGAATTGTTAATTTAATATTAAAGTATTTAAAATTTTGCATGCCTAATTGTGGCGATATATGTGGACTTAATATTATTTTATCTATCTGTATATTTACCATATTTCTTGCAAATAAATATTCATTCATTCATTCATTCAAATAATAAACATTTTTCTGAATGCACCGCACGCACTGACATAGATATTACTTCAAAGTGCACACCCTACATCCTTATTACAGAACCCTATTATTACCCTTATTACCCCACATCCTTATTACAGAACCCTATTATTGTCACCCTTATTACCCCACATCCTTATTACAGAACCTTATTATTACCCTTATTACCCTACATCCTTATTACAGAACCCTATTATTACCCTTATTACCCTACATCCTTATTACAGAACCCTATTATTGTCACCCTTATTACCCTACATCCTTATTACAGAACCCTATTATTACCCTTATTACCCTACATCCTTATTACAGAACCCTATTATTGTCACCTTTATTACCCCACATCCTTATTACAGAACCCTATTATTGTCACCCTTATTACCCCACATTCTTTTAACTTATAACCTCTTTAAGAAAAGGGATGTTAGTAATAGACCTTTAAAAGTTCCATTGCTAACAATATACCATTATCAGGTTGGCCTCCAGGCAGTTTTGCTTGGAAACCATTGTGTTCGATTTATTGTTAAATTCGTCACGGTGGGCTAACTAACCTGGAGGTCTACTATGAAATAGAATTCTGAACTTTCAGACTCAATTTAGTGTTTTTGTAGTGTTAGTGTTCATATCAAAATCAGCAAAATATAATGTATCGTACTAACCATTGCGAGTAAGGTTCGGAAGTGGAACTCTTCATAGCACCATAGCTCTGCGACTGATAGTGGCCGGAATTGCTTGCGCGACGCACATCCGGGGTGCCGCCGAGCGAGCTCCAGCCACTGCGGTTGTTCACCTGTGTGATGCGTCATCATGTACGTGTCAAGGAATGTATAAAATAACTAAATTTTAACCACCACTTCGTCTGCGTACCCGGGATATATTCACTGACCGGGTTATTTATTTATTTATTCATTAGTACATATATGTGTACATGGCGGACTTTATGCTAAAAGCATTCCCTCCCAGTCATCCATTGGGAAGTGTCAGAATACTCGAATGCGGTACTAGTAATGTTACAAAAAATGTGATAAATGAAGAAGCGCTCGACCGATTTTGTGCAAACTTCACATAAACCATCTACTAAATAGACCGAACAAAGCCTAAACATTTAGTTCGGATACGTGAGCCCGTACTTGAGTTATAAAATTACAACGAAAAGTGGCATTAATTTATATATATATATATATATATATATATATATATATATATATATATATATATAAATGCCTTGATTTTATTACCTTCTCAGAGACAGTGGATGCCATCTCGGACACCTTCTGGGTAGCGATACCTCCGTACCGCACCGCACTCTCAGTCGCGGAACGCGCCGCCTTACTCACCGACGATGTGAACATCGACCAGCCCTGCGAAATACAAACCACTAGATAACATACAGGTGTTAAAACGAAATGCATTCTTTGAAACTCGCTGTGTGGTCTCGACATGATGGGCTTATCTCTTCCTTTCGCGTGAGTGTCGTAAGAGTTGACTAAGACAACTTTATGGTCGAGCGGTGAGCAGCAGCGTCCCTCTTTTTTTTTTATACAACTTAGAATGGCAAACAAGCTGACGGTCCACCTGATGGAAAGTGGTAACCGTCGCCTATAGACATGAGCAGTACCATGGATATAACAGAGTATACTGTTTCGCCTATGATATCCCCCATGCGTTGCCACTCCTGAGGACTTAGGTGTTATTCCTCTGTACCCAGTAAATTCACGTCATATCCCACCCTTCAAACCGAAACACAGCCATGCAAACACAACTGCTGCACGGTTGAAACACGAATGGGACAGAGGTACCCAAGCAATCGACTTTTGTACAAAGTCTCCCTCTGGAAAATCTGGAATCACTAACAGCCAAACTGTGGTTGCCTTCCAAGCGCGGCGACTATTAGCAAAACTTCCTATATAGGGGAGACTTAAGCTCAGCAATGGACTGATAACCGCTGATTTAATGATTCCTTAAAACTAGTGCCTTTCAGAAAAAAAAATCCTAAAAATATTTATATTACTATAAATTATATATATACTTATGTCTATAGGCGACGGTTACCACTTTCCATCAGGTGGGTCGTCAACTTGTTTACCATTTTAGGTTACATAAAAAAAATAATTAATTAAAATTCTCGAAAATAAGTTTGTGTACTAAAAAGACATTAATTGTAGCAAAGCGAGTTATTTTAATTTAAAACAGAATTACTGAACCGATTTTGATAAATTTCTATGGGATCGATAAAAATAATTTTCCAAATCGGTTTACAGTTGATGGAGGTATGGGGTTAATAAACATAATAAAAAAATTAGAATCTAATCGAAAACGCCTGTCTCCCATTAGGGTAGGCAGAAACAATGGAACGCCAAATGCTTCGATTCAAACAAACCTCTTTCGCTTCTTCCACATTCATCAATCTTTTCATACACGCTCGCCGGTTACGGGTACTTTTAATTTGGCCCTTCTTCTGCACGTTGCCTATTTGGTCGATATACGTCCGTCTAGGGCGGCCCCTACCGACATCTCCATTCATTCTTGTTCGATAAATCTCTTTCGTAATTCTTCTTTCATCCATCCTCTCCAAATGGCCAAACCAACGCAACATTCCTTTTTCGATTTTTGTCACTACATCGTCTTTCAGTCCACACTTCTCTCTAATCACATTGTTTCTTACTCTATCTTTTAAAGTAATACCACACATACTTTTCAAAGCTCTCATCTTTGAAAAAATCAATCTGTAAATATATAAAATTTTTAACATGTCTCATAAATATATAGTACATTTTAACTGTATGGCCACCTGTATCATTATCAAGGGTTCGGGTCGTTCCGAAAGTAGCCGAGCGTTCCCGATTTAAGTTCGCGTAAGAATTTTATTCATGTCACTCAAAAAGAAAACTCGCCCCCTGTCACGTTGGACTCTTAATGTATACGATGTAATTTGGACATGTCAAAAACAGTCTACACATGTTTCTGACTACCCCTGCTGCTGACGACTTGTCCAACAGGCCTTTTATATATTTTGTTTTTTTTTTTTTATTTTATTTTATTTGGTTTACCTAATTATTATTATTATTTATGGATTATTAGGAATTATTGAGAGTTACTCGCTACTCCGTCTGTGTGACTGAGATATGTTTGTTGACCGAGAAATAATTATGTTCCATAAAAAAACCGATATCAATTGGGGCAAAACCATTTTATTTCGATTTAAAAACTAAATTACTAGACCGATTTCGATAAAATTTCTTTGGAATCAATCTGTAAGTATATCTTTTTAGATAAAAAAAAAGAATTTTCCAAGTCGGTTCACAGTTGATGGGTTTATGAGGTAACAAACTTAAAAAAACAAGCAAATTAAGCCTTCTATTTGAAGTCGGTTGAAAAGATATCTAAATGACAGTGAAACCAGTATCAAAATCGATCGCGTAGTTTAGTAGACGTAAGAGGAGAAACAGAGAGACGCGGATAGCGACTTTGTTAATACCATTTAGTGATAATACCAATAGGATGTAATGAAAATATAAATAAACTTTTAATTGATTCGACCATAACAATTAGTTGATGAATACTCAATGGTTAATAGAAATAAAAAATAGATTAATTGTCTGAACGTTCCAATTAGTTATTAATTTCACTTGGACGAGGATTTTTGCGATAATTTCAACAAATCTCAGTTAGGTTTTATAAAATTCTATTGAAATCCTTCAATCCACGGACGCAGTTACGTATCCAGAGAGAGACTGTACAATATGACTGTATGTACTGTGGAATATGACAGTGAATTTACAGGGTTCAGAGGAATAACACCTGAGTCCTCAGGAATGGCAACGCATGGGGGGTATCATGGGTGAAACAGTATACTCTGTTATGTCCATGGTACTGCTCATGTCTAGGTGACAGTTACTAATTTCCATCAGGTGGGCCGTCAGCTCGTTTGCCATTCTAAGTAGCATAAAAAAATCTTGTATATGACAAGTACACTTCAGTGCATTGTATAAATATTTGTGCATTTCTAATTATGGTAGACTTAACATTGGGTAGGTGTTATCTCAAAGCAGCTCGTCAGCTAAACAGAGGAATATGTAGGTGTGGTGCATTCATGAGATAAACATTGTGTATATGTACATATATATACACAAACACATACACACACATATATATACATATATATATGTATATATATATATATATATATATATATATATATATATATATATATATATATATATATATATATATATATATATATATATAAACAAAAAAATTAATAATAAAAAAAATATATGTTCACAATTGTAATGCCGATTCGGGTAGACAGAGGAATTTGTCGATGCCGTTGTGAACGTCTTCAGATACAGTCATATTTAATCGAAGATTTTAAAGTTTTTTTTTTTAATGGGTGATAATCAAATGGTAACCCCGCCTGTGCTATCGGTATACGCTGGCGAGACACCAGTGAGGAATGACAGGTGACGATGAAAGCAGGTCAGTTAGCCCATCGTGATGTATTCCATCAGAATATAATCTATTACAATAAACCACAACAGTTTCCAGGGGGAATCGTGTGGAGGTCGACCTGATAGGGTATATTGATAGTAATGGGGAAATTAGACCCCAATACTAACTATCCCTTTACCCCCAGATCTTAGAGTCTAACTTAGCAGGGAGTAACTAGCGCCTCCGGAACGAATATAATAAAGTATCTTTTACCCGTGACTTCGCCTGCGCGACTGGGATACGTTTATCGACGGGGATAAAAGTAGTCCATGTATACTAAAATTCACGTCTATAACTGTTCTTGGTGCCAACTCCACTGTACCACGTCTTTGCAAGCTGTTGAATGATTGCAAGCAACACTTGGATATTCACTTCGATACAGAAGGGGATTTCTATAGGAAAGCATTGCAGTTAATTTGAATAGCTAAAACTTATGTAAAGCAATAATCTATTGAATTTAAAAAAAAACTATACCTATGTCAAATACCTCAAGAGTTTGTTATGCCATGTTATTGTTTATTTGTTAATTAGCACGCTGTGTTCCCTTTAAAATGATTGTACTCGTACACTAAGTATAAACAGACAGTAATTTTAATATTAAATCTTATCAGTGTAACAATTGCTAGGAGACCAAATAAAGATAAAATAAAAAAAAAAATAACAGTGAACGCTTTATAGAAGTACCTCATTTGAACTAATTTCAATAAAACAGATTTCTTATTGGGAAAACTTATTTAAAGAAGTATAAAAATACTTACCGTCTGGAAAATATTTTTACTTATTTCTTTTACTAATTAAGCTGAGTAGAATGAATAAAATATAAAGAATGTTGCTTAAATAGAGGTTGCTAATATAGAGCGTTCACTGTAATAGTAAATTATATTGGGCGGAAGCAATATAAACTACTGCTTATCTTATCAATAGATTTCCAATTGTAATTCCAATAAATCGCTTTCACACAAAACAAAAGTAATGTGACCTGGTCAGAAACTGAATCGAAACTCACGTCAATTCACGAGAAAAGAAAGAAATAGGATCCTAAAGCTATATTTCTTGGATACTGCGATAACAATAAACAGCCGGTTACAGATTTGTAATACCTACTTAACTCTAGGGCTGCCACAAGAAATTGAGATGCTGTTTTTATTATATAATATATTAAACATATTTTAACAACAACATCAACATATTTTAACAGTCTTTTTTTTTTTTAATTGTCTATATGTTTATTGTATGATGCTTTTAATTCGATAAAAAGACAAAATTATGACAGCCATATAGTTAAAAAAAAAGATTTTATGTTATATTTAATTATATTAAAATTAGATTATTATTTTTATAATAAATTTAATTATATTAAAATTAGATTATTATTTTTATAATAAATTTAATTATAATTTAATTAACTTGTTGTTGTCATGTATAATTAATTATTAAGTTATTATAGCAAGTAAGTAAGCTGCCTTCGAAAATAATAAATAAACATATAAAAATTTATTTTTATTTATTTATTTATTTATTTATTTAACACTTTATTGCACCAACATAACAGGATTTGTTGAACAACTTTCAATACGTATAGTGTAGTACAAACAATAAATTTACCCTTCGTCGTAACGACTTCGATCGTTTAGCTTGTGTTTTTATTAATCTTTCCTTTTCCATTTTCACAAGTGTCTTCACAATTACGCACAAATAATATCACCTGTCACTTTCACAGATGGGATGAGTAAGGATGATCCCTATACAATGTTTAACAATTAACTGGAGCGTATGTGTATGTGATGCGCAGCGTGGACGCAAGTGATCACCGTTTGCGATGATGCTACGCTTCACGCGGTCGAGGTGCGGCGTCAGCATTTCTCCAGTACGCTCGTTTGCGTCACTATTGCATTTTTACACCAGGTCACCGTTTCAAATAGTGACGATAGGCATAACTAATATATCAAGGTTATAAAGTACGTGTTTGTTACAAAGATGATAAATAAATAATAATAACAATTTCGATCATGTCAGTATTTAATACAAAAATTGTATCATAATAGATATATTCGTTTAGGAGCTACGATGCTATAGACGGACACACAGACAGGTCAAATTTATAACGCCCCTCTTTTTGCGTGGAGGGTCAAAAACACTACGAACCGTGATAGTCACAATTACAGAGATAAATAATGTAAGCAGGAAAAAGCGCGCTCTTCTAAATATATATTGTACAATGTGGAATAAGGTATGACTTTGAAAAAGTTAAGCAGCGTTCATTTTAAAATTTTTTTTTTTTATACAACTTAGAATGGCAAACAAGCTGACGGCCCACCTGATGGAAAGTGGTAATCGTCGCCTATAGACATGAGCAGTAACACGGACATAACAGAGTATACTGTTTCGCCTATGATACCCCCCATGCGTTGCCATTCCTGAGGATTCAGGTGTTATTCCTCTGTACCCAGTAAATTTACGCCATATCCCACCCTTCAAACCGAAGCACAGCCATACAAACACAACTGCTTCATGGTAGAAACACGAAAAATTATTTTATTAGTAAGTATATCCTTTTAGATAAAAAAGAATTTTCCAAATAGATTTACAGTTGACTGAGTTATGAGGCAACAAACGTAAAATTAAAAAAATATAACCGATTTGAGTACCTTCTTTTTGAAATCACTTGAAAAAGGGTTTTAAAATATTGAATGCGCGTACAGAACACTTTAGTTCAAACAACAACGTATGAACGATGCAATGGGTGTCACAGTATATTCTGGGGGAATAAGACATAGTTTTTTTTTATGTGTGAAAATGGTATGGTAGCCCCGCCTGCGCTAATGGAATACGTTGGCGGGGCACCAGAGAAGGGTGATCGATGAGAATGAAAACAGGCTAGTTGGCCCATCATGATGAATTCATCAGGAATTAATCATGATAGTTTCCAGGAGGAACCGCGAGGAGGTCGACCTGGTTGGCTATATTGCTAGCAATGGGATTCTCAGTCTCCATTACTAACAATCCCTTTCCCCCCAATAAGACATAGTTATCATTTTTAATCAGATGGGCTAATTTATTTTATTTATTTTGTTATTTCTCAAAAGGGACGCTTTCAAAATAATTACAAGGTTAGTGCGAAGCGACGATAGTCGACTTCGAATTTTAAATAATTCTGGATTTTTATCGAAATTAAAATTAGCTAGTTATCCTCTTCACACTTTGTAAATATTGTATCTTCTGTTCTTGTTTATCATCGGCGACAATTGATGCGTAGACTAGAGACATCTATTAGACTGGGCGCTAACGCGTGTTTGAGAGGAGGTGAGGTCAAATAGCAGCGGGGGGCAGGGAGTATCCATACTGTAGTACTATTATTGATACCCGTACTGTGCTATTAGTCTCTTTATAGCCGTCGTAACTTCTAAACAAAAGGTTCGATTCGAATAATTTAAAGAGAAATTTTTGCTAGCTTGGATTTTATTTTCAACTTTTAATTTTTTGGAAATAAAATATAGCCCATATCTATTCGCTGATAACATAGCCTTCTATAGGTAAGAGTTTTTTAAATCAGTTAATTAGTTTTTGAGATTATTCATAACAAACAAACAAAATATTTTTTTTCTTATTTATCAACATCAAAATCATATCAACTGTTAACTGCCCATTGCTGAACTAGGTCTCCTCCTATTGGGGGGTATTTGCCAATAGTTGCCACGTTTGGCACGCGACCTGGCAAGCGCAGTTAGGCTTCAGTAAGCTTAAGGGAGACTTTGTACAAAAGTCAATTGCTTAGGTACCTCTGTCCCATTCGTGTTTTAACCGTGAAGCAGTTGTAATTGCATGGCTGTGTTTCGGTTTGATGGGTGGGATATGGCAGGAATTTACAGGGTACAGAGGAATAACACCTGAGTCCTCAGGAATGGCAACGCATGGGCGGGTATCATGGGCGAAAGAGTATACTCTGTTATGTCCATGGTACTGCTCATGTCTATAGGCGATGGTTACCACTTTCCATCAGGTGGGCCGTCAGCTTGTATGCCATTCTAAGTTGTATAAAAAAACGTTGTTGCCCATCCCTCGGTCTTTAAGTTCTTTTAGTCGTCTTGTTACGTCACCCACAGGAAAGGAATAGGTGGTCCATTCTATGTCGGGACCACACGGCGAGTTCTTCTATATAATAATAGTTAATTAGGTATGATCATGTCATGCAGAGATATGCAAGTCTAGTAGATCTACTTTTAAGCTAAATATAATGTAAAGGGAACGAGATCAACTATTATTATTTCCTATTATTATTTGACATAAAATTCTCTTTTACTCTCTTTATTTAGGTCAACAAACAGTAGACACAATAACAATATATATATATATATATATATATATATATATATATATATATATATATATATATATATAAATAATTTTAGTGTCACCAACGACGTTGGCCACCTGTTACTACAAAACAAAATATGCAAAACGGTTGTGTGCAACTACTTGTACAAGATCAAACATATACACATACATGAATGATAGAAATGTAAAGAGGTGCGTACCAGTGATCCATTCGAAATCAAAGAATTTCTAAATTGATTTTATAATATATTAAAAATTAATATACATTTACCAGCAATAAATAAGTAAATACAACATCAATAACAAAATATCATTCCTTCACCTCAAGTAGACCACTGAACTTAATTTGTATATTATCTAGTGTATTTGTTATTTAAATTTTTACTTTTCATAACTAATGGGGAAAAATGTTAGGACACTTGATACGACACGACGAACTTATGAACATTATAATAGAAGGTAAGATACAAGGAAGGAGGGGAAGAGGGAGACCGAGACATAGTTACATCAGGCAGATCAAGGAAGTAGTTGGTGTCGTGTCGTATCAAGAGGTGAAGAGGCTCGCTGAAAATCGTAGTGAGTGGCAAGAGCTCCACCGACAAGAGCGCAGCTCTTAAATGGATAGATAGATAGAACTAATGACATAGATTATTGTAATGTTAAATTTTAACAAAAAGTTATAATTGAAATAAAGTTTCTTAAATTGATGATTAATATTGTCTATACTAAAATTATTAGGAGCTAAAGCTATGTGAGTTTGGATGTTCGAGGTAATCTCCGGTACTAATGATCAATTTTTGAAAATCTTTTAATCGCTAGAAAGGTATATCATCCCTGAGTACTATAAACTACTTTTTGACTTTCCTAAATATATATTTTCAACTTAGATTATATAGATAGAGTATCTCCGTACAAATGCTTTGGAAAAAGCGAGTGGAAACTTTAATACAATTTTACGTGTATAAATAGTTATGAGTGATTCCTTTATAATTTCCATATTTATTACGTTTTATAATTTTTCCATCTTTTTAATGCGTAATTAATAATAATTTATTAAATAATACGTCAAGAGATTGTATGCGTAAGTATATAGAACACTGATAAAAAAAAACGAGTCAGCTAATTTGACAATTAGCTGACAAAACGTTGACCCGTTTTTGAGACTCGAATGCTTTATATATATATATATATATATATATATATATATAACTTAAGATTTAAATAATTAATTACAATAATATAATTGAAGAAAAGGGCATCGGAATAGTGAAGTATGTTTTAAATGACTAACCGTAGCTAACGATGCGAGCGTGTTGTCGACCATTTCGTTCCCGCTGTGTATGGGCGACATGGGCGTCGACTGGGACTGTTTGGGTGTGTTCCCGAAGCCGGTGTACCTTCCACTTCCGTACTCGCTACTGTTGACAAGTATATCATTATTAGCCGATTATAAAGTGTCATATGTCAAATTTCATTCAAATCGGTTCAACCGTTTATGCGTGATTTACTTATTTATTTATTTATATGCTTAGGTACATTCACTTTTAATACAGGTATTAGGTTATAGCAAAACAGTACATACTTCTTGACGGTGGACTTCTTGTTTAAAAAGATTAATTTAATTAATTACACTTAAATAGCTAAATAGATTTAAAATGGAGGACTGGATTGTTAGTAACAGGATCTAACAGTTCCATTGCTAACAATATCAGGTCGACTTCTACATGGTTTCTCTTGGAAACCATCTTGATTAATTCTTGTTGAATTTATAACGATGAGCCAAATGACTCGCTTTAATCTCCACGTGTCATCAGTAATTGGTGCTTCGACAGTGCAGGCGGGGTTAGCATTCCATCATTTAATAAAAAAAAAATACATACTGACAGGGGGAGAAGGAAGGAAGTGGTGTGTTAATTTGGACCTCCACGTGGTTTCACCTGAAAACCGCCGGCAACTTTTTTTTTGATGGGTGAAAGTGGTATGGTAACCCCGCTTGCGCTAACGGGATACGCTGACGGAGCACCAGTGAAGGGTGATAGATGAGAATGAAAACAGGCCAGTTAGCCCATCATGATGAATTCGTCAGGAATTAACCATGATAGTTTCTAGGGAGAACCGCGAGGAGGTCGACCTGGTTGGGTATATTGCTAGCAATGGGAATCTCAGTCTCCATTTTTAACAATCCTTTTCCCCCACTCCTAGTAAATTCATCATGACCAACTAACTAATTCAAAGTGATCCTCACCTATCATCATTCATCATGGTACCTTGCCAATGTATACCAATAGCGTAGGCGAGGTTACTATTCCATTATCACCTATAAAAATAAAATACGTACTGGTAACTTATATTGTTGTCAGATCCGCTGGTGTGGAATGTATTGTCTCCAGAAGAGTAGAAGTCCCTGGACTGGGTCCACTCGGCCGGCTTCTCCACTGTTTCAGGTTTATAGTCCGAGGGGCTCCAAGGTCGGCCTTCAGACAGGGCTGTTATCTGAAACAATAAATAAATAACATTATCTAAGACTTTGTTGATTCTATTTAATAATAATAATAGATAGATAGATAGATAATTTATTTACATTACTTACAGCACACAAATTACAATAAAAAAAAAACATACACGTAATACACAGCAAAAGAGACAAAAGAATAAAATAAAAAAAAGCACAAATAAAAAAAAATATATAATCTAACAATCTCCTTTGTTACCATTCCTCCATGCGTGTGCCATAGTAACACAAAATGGTCACAGCTCAGTTTATTGCTTTGCCCTTAAAAGAGCAAAACACTGATATTCTGCTGTGGCCAAGAGTCAGTCGCGAAACTTTTCATTAAAAATTTACAATAAAAAAAAAATATATATATATATAAATAAACTGCATTGTATGCTATCTCAGGCACCAGTCTCTCACAATTATATTTACAATTTGATTAATATAAGCATTGTATTTCACTGTAATGAATTGTGAAGAGAAATAAATCTATTTATTATTATTATTATTCCTTAAATTTTACTAAAATTCTCATCTCCCCTCTTAAGGAGAGGAGATGGCAACTAACCCCCGGCTTTATTATTTGATTAAAAACTTCAAAAAGGTGTTTATATATATACACTTGCCAAGTTCTTATGGCTTTTACAGTACACAAGGTCAGAGAGTATACCAATACTGATACTGCAAAATTAGTATATTTCAATTAAGTATCCCATAAAATAAGTTAGTAACTTATTTTATGGGATACTATTATGGGAGAAAACAGCATATATTCAGAATATTGTCATTTTAGAGAATTGTGTGATTCAAGCCATTTACTGTTTGGAAAATTGTGTTTCAATCAGAGAGAAATTTAAAATTTAACTATTACACTGTTTTGTCACTTTCTTTCAAATTGAGAAATTAACTCAAATGATTAAATTTTTAACAATTTGAGGTGAAAGGCAGCTCCAGTGGATGTTTCAAAAACCTATTATAAATTTTAATGACTTATCCCAAAAAAAACCTATTTAGTTTTTCTAAACAGTTCTTTTGAACAGCCAGTTCACTTATGCCTAATATTGAGCTTGTGAATATAACAGATTTTTTTTATACAAATCATAGTACTTGCTTATACCAGAGGAAGACTGTACAAAAGTCACTTGCTTGGGTACTTCTGTCCTATTCGTCATATAACTTCAACAGTTGTACACCGATTTAGAAAATTCTTTTTTTATCTAAAAGGATATACATACAGATTGATCCTACAGTAATTTTATCAAAATTGGTTCAGTAGTTTAGTTATTAAATCAAAATAACTGGTTTTTTCGAAATGAAAGTCGATTTTTTTTAGGAACACAATTTTCATGCATCAGGAATAAACCTATGCACACGCGATGTCCATAATGGATCGAATAATAATAGAAAAGATTTTTTTTTTATACTACTTAGAATGGCAAACAAGCTGACGGGCCACCTGATGGAAAGTGGCAACCATCGCCTATAGACATGAGCAGTACCATGGACATAAGAGAGTATACTTTTTTGCCCATGATACCCCTCATGCGTTGCCATTCCTGAGGACTCAGGTGTTATTCCTCTGTACCCTGTAAATTCACGCCATATCTCACCCTTCAAACCGAAACACAACCATGCAAACAACTACTTTACGGTTGAAACACGAACGGGACAGAGGTACCCAAGCAATCGACTTTTGTACAAAGTCTCTCTGGTAAACATTAATATTAATGAACTAACCTTTTGCCGGTACATGGCGGCTACTTTCGTGTTGTACTTTTGCGGTATAGTCATGCCGGTCTTGTAGTCAGGTTGGCTCTCGAAGAATTCCCGCGCTTTCGCGTTCCCACCCACCTGTCAAAATATTACTCTAATTAAAAATAATTTAATATCCACGGCAGACAATTTTTTTATGCAACCTAGAATGGCAAACAAGCTAACGGCCCACCTGATGGAAAGCGGTAACTGTCACTTATAGACATGAGCAGTGAGTACCCTTCATGCGTAGTCATTCCTGAGGAGTTCAGTATTTATCGGTACTTTGTAACCTAATTATACTGTACAATAATTTACGTCAACACCATATAAACTATTGTCCACTATTGAACATAAGCCTCCCCTTGGGGGGTTTCCAGTAGTTGCCACGCTTGGCAACTGCAGTTAGACATTGGAGATGTTTTAAGAGGGACACTACTTATTCCTCATATCTCGCTCTTCCTTAGTCACCTCTTACGACACCTACGGGAAAGTAAAGAGTGGCCTAATCTTTTGGGACCTACACGGCAATAACTTTACTGAACTAAGATATAATAGGATGTCTCGTCACTAATTTTGTCTGATGTCATGTCACTATTTCCTTTACAAGTATGACATATGGACTAATGAGTTATGGTGTTATGTTTGGAACAGTTTTGAGTGTAACATTTGTGTAACAACTGTAGAGTAGTGGATTTTTTGTATGTAAATACATTTTATTTTAGTTTACGTTAACATTTAATAATAGTTATATTTTTTTAATATAAGAAATATATCATATAATAAAAATAGTTATTGATAATCAATTCGCCATTGCTTAAAATTAAGTTCACTTTTGCTCACATTATTTCTAATATTTGTTTTAATATTCTACTGTTACTGTATTTCAGAGTGCAATAAAGACTATACGAAGTTTTATTACCTATATATACAATTTACTAGTATATATATATATATATATATATATATATATATATATATATATATATATATATATATATATATATATATATATATATATATACACTAGAAACATTTATAGCATCTTTTTTAAACAACTTCAAAAGGAAAAGATTCTCAGCTCTGTTGTATTTAATGTTTGTTATTTCACAACTCATTTATAAACCGATTTTTAAAAATTCTGTTTTTTTACCTGTAATTTTATCAAAATCAGTTAATAATTTACTTATAAATCAAAATAACTAATTTTACTACAATTAAAGTCGCTGTTTTTTAGTGGAACAAAATCTTAAGTTACTAAGGTAAATAAGATTAATTCGCAATATGCATACAATATAAATATAGGTGCTTAAATTTATGCGATATATCATTTCTTGCAATGAAGGCATGATACAGTCATTAATTGTCCACTGCTGAACATAAGTCTCCCCCATACCTCAGTTGGTAGCAGTTGCTATGCTTGGCAGGTGGATTGGCAACGGCAATTAGGCATTCGGGATGTTTTAAGAGAAACACTTCTGCCCATCACTCGTTCTCCCTTAGTTGCTACTTACGACACCCACGGGAAAGAAAGAGGCAGATCATTCTGCTGCCAGGGCCACACAGCACACAATGTGGGACAATTCCACAATGCAACTTAACAAAATTATCATTTTTATTAAGCAGATTATCATAGGTAATGCCCAGGTAATGACAGCAACAAAATCAGTACAAATAAGTAGCTAAGCTCTACGTTTACGTAAGCAAACATTACGGATAGATCATTGCAATTTTTGTGAGGGCCATGGTGCTGTTCATGATGGTTACCATTTTCCATCACACTGTCAAGTTTTTGCCATTCTGTGCCATAAAAAATAATACATAATAGAAATCAGAACAATAGTGAGTCATTAGCGATCAGTTCGCCATAAGCTTAAAATTGTATAAACAAATCACATTTCAATAAATACTGTCGCTTCACTATCTCAGACACGCTCAGTGCATTTCATTATCATATTTTGTAATGCCGGAAACATATCTAAATTATTCAGTGGCACAAATAATACATAAATAATGATAATTTAAGATTTGAGAAGTATTATTAAAGTTTATAAATCGTATATTAATATATCTATTTATTATGTGTTTCCTACATATAATATACAAAATATTTACAGCTATTGAACTGTCTTGTCTCTTTCTTTCATGCTAAATTGTTAATTTAAAACAAAATGACACAACAGCCATCATTATTGTATCAGCCGACAACAGTACAATAGTTAAAATAGGTCAGTAATCAGTTTTAGTTTTTAAGATTAAGGAAGTAGGTCTAAATAAATAAAAATCTTATGTCATATAGTTCATGCACTGTTTGTGACCGTTCAACTGATTTTAATGCAATTTGAAAGATAAGATCATTTTTAAAGAAAAGAAGAGAATTTTTAAATAAAGAAAATACTGTGGATTGTTAATCAACATCTCCTTGACGTAGACAATGTAATAATTTTATTTTAACCAATATCAATGATATGTTAAATTCATAAATATGCACTTATCCTCATGTAAAATACAAAGAAATTGTGTATGAAATATAAAAGCTACTAAATAGAAATGTACTGATAATAATATTAAAAAAAAAAGTAAGAAAAAACTGCATACATAATTTTAAAAAGTAAAATTTTGTAACTATGTTTCAGTTCTTATTACTATTTACTGCTCCTTTACTTCCTTTCTGGTTTTGTGAGACAAACAACTTTCAGTTTGCCAATTTTATATCTCTTTTTGTAGTTAGATGTGTCTTATGTCCTTTTCTATACAATACAGTAAATAAAGATAAACCATTGTTCCTATTACACCACTATGTGAAGGTTACCTACTGTATATTACAATTTGTAGTTTCAAGATGTTTAAATATAAGTTGCATAAATTGTAATACTTTGGCATATAGCTAAACAAACATGATAACATTATAAGTGTGTCCATATTGCCACATGAATAGAGAACAGTGACAAAATTACAGAATGTAACATAAGTTTACCATCATCTTCTCCAGCTCGATATCTTTCCATTTGTCCATTGTGACTGATCGTACGAAGGACAAGTGCACGCCAAGGCTGCGGTGAACGCCAGAACACTCCAGGCATATCCATATGCCGTAGGTCACGGACACCCATTGAGGATTCAGCGTCCCACACTCGAAACATTTCTGTCAGGAAATTGGACGATTTTAGATAATATTTCATACACATACGGAGCTGATATTTGCAATGTTACTTACATGGTTCTCGTCTATAGTTCTAATAGAGTTTAGTTTGCGACGGGTTCGTGGCGAAGCCATCTCTGCTGTTGGTGAAAGTCACAAAACTTATTGTTGAAGATATTTTATAAGAAATTCGCTCGCGCATAAGCATTCGCGTTGCGAGCGAACGAAATCGAACAGTAAACGAAAAAGTCACAATCAATTCACAAAACGTCACGTCATAAATGTCAACGCTGTTATCAATTTAAGAATTTCTATTCTTTATCTAACTTAATACTTTTCTTTTTTATTAATGGCAACTCGACGAAAAACTATACCTACTTCATATTTTCCTTTGTACAAACTTATTCAAATACATGTCTGCTGATAATTGCGATATTTCAGTAAGATAAAGTAATAAACGCTCTTAATCTATAAGCTCTCATTTATTTTAATCAGACGGGGTTGCCCATAGTAGAACAAGTAGTCTCTGACAGTATTTCTATCCCGTCTGATTAAAATAAATAAAAGCTTATAGATTAAGAGCGTTTATTACTTTATCTTACCGAAATATCGCAACTATTACATATTTTTGTTTCTTGCTCTATATAAAAATACAGAGATTTTTATTCGAGTTTACACAATTTACACAAAAAAAAATGGTTATTTTTTCTGTTATGTAATTGATTTACGCTGGTGAAGTACCAGTGAATGATAATAATAATAAAGAAATTAACTACGATTTTCCAATGAGACCGCGTGGTGGTTGTAACGTAATCAAAACAACAAGTTTAAATGATCGTATAATGACGTGCTTAATGAATAATAATGTCATATGTGTTTGTAAAAGTACTTATTTATTTTGACATTCTCTTGCGGAGTTCAACTTAAAAGGGTACATAGCATATTGTTAACAATGATACCCCATTACTGAAAAGTAAAAATGTATTTATTATCAAAGTATGGGTGTTTATGACATCGTTTAGATGAAAATGATTTTTTTCTTCATTAGTAGCATTCACCCCGATTTTAGGGTATTTTGCTATAAACAAAATGGGCAAAAAATAGTAATAATAAAAATACCTGTCTCACGCCAAATTGGAAAAAATAAAACTTAAGTCTAGAATACTTATAGAATGTAATTAAATTTATGTATTTATTATCTTTGAGAGTTGTAACTTTGATTTTCAAATTGTGACAGTCGCCAGTGCCCAAGTTTTCTGTCATCTTTCAAAATAAGACAATAATTTTCAATGTATTACTTATTGTACACAAAAATTACATCGTTATTAGTTCATGTCACTGAGTTTTAAAAGTTTTCTACTAACGAATTAAAAATTTAATATTCTTACAATGCTTTTACTGAAAATTCGGACTTGGATAATAAAAAAATATTTGAAAAATTTCAAAGCAGACTATGAAATATGTGTAAAGTTTTTAGTAGTAGAATTATTGCAACGTGTTATATCATTGACGCTTTAGTTGGTAGCAGAGCACTTTTAAAATAATCAGTCAGAAATTTGGATGTTTTTTTATTATGAATAGTCTAACTAATCACTGATAAAATTTGTCATACATACCCCTACATATGTATATACTTTTTATTCTGGTCATCGCTCACGCTGACGCAGTTGGGGTAAAAGCCATTCTATACTGTATGTATTTGTAAGTATATCTATAATACTTTTTTACATTGTGCTATTTATGTATATGTATCAATACAAGCAAACACAAATGATTGAGAATTAATATGTTCCACCATATACTCCACAACCACCTCGTGTTACTGAGGAGGCACGGAGACATAGCTCTAGTTCTTAGGGGTGGCGACACATCAGGGATATCATACGACTGTTCATGTCTATAGGCGACGATCACCATTTTCATCAGGCGGGCCGGTAGCTTGTTTCCCATTCCAAGTTTCATAGAAAAATTCAGCTATTGATTGTCAGCAGATGGTGAAAATTCGTATTTATACTCAATCATTATATAATAATATCATTATATGAATAAAAACTTGTGGAAGTACTTACAATTCTAATTTGAAAAGAAACAATGTTTTCATATGCAAGAAAAGTTTTATTTACTTATCTATTTACTTACAATTTATTGCACTGTTTTTTTTTAAATAATAAAAATAACAGTTATATTGCATGAGAAATTATGCAAAATTAGTCCTTATAGCTAAACAATTCTTTCAGAAAAGCTTAATCAGTATAAAAAGTAAAAAGAGTTTTTTAGAACGAGTATTAGTATTAAAACCGTTCTGCGGCATGTACTGTAAGTAGCGCTCAAAAATAATAGAATATGTGCAAATTAGTTGCACCGACAAGAAAACAAAAAAAAAAAAAAATACCTCTTAAAGTAAAAAAAAAGGTGTTATATATACATATAGTATAATAACAGCAGTAAAATAACAAAAGTTACGTTTTGCAGTAGGTTATTCTTATTAGAAAAAGTAAAGTAGAGTTGAGATGAATAAAGAAAACATAACTTCCAAATTAACTGTTAATTTGGAAGTTAACAAATTAAATGATATAATTATAATCTAAAGTTATAATATGTTACATGTTGTAACATGTTGAACATATCCGAGATATGGACAAGGGATGGTACTCAATACATATTGTTCAAAAGTTGCCAAAACCCTTAGAGTACTTAATGGCTTTCAGGAGTTTGACTTGAAGCTTGTCCTCACTATCGTATTCGGGCAGTAGCAGCATATTGTAACAGGTACGGGAGGTGGGTAAGCGATCGCTATTGTCTCCGCTACGGGTAATAATAAATTTCATTTCATCGAGGCTGCTGATTGGGACACGGTCACGTCCGGTGACGAATTCAAGCAGCTTTCGCTTGTGGTCCTCGGTCATTGTGTGGACGATGCGCCAGAAGTGCTGTATGATCCGCGACTCGGCTGAGTACCCGCCCTGGTATTCCGTTAATGACTGGATCTCATTGAAGTTGATTCTCTATAAAATAGATATTCTCTTGTACATATTACGAAGTAAGTGTAATCTAATTCCAAACTGAGAGCTTATATTATGGATACTACTAAATGGGAATAGGAACTATGAAATATTTACTTATTTTCGTATATGTATATTATACGTACATGATATCACAGCAGATACATTGTACATACTCATATATACAAATGTATTTTCCTTTTTACAATGATTGTAAACTCGAAATTGTCTAAAAACTGTGGGAGCAGAACCAGTGATCATTAGAAGTTGAGGAGATGTGTTACACCATCAAACACATAAACTGCACGTGATTATGCACCTATTAAATTTGTTACACATCAGGAGGTCGTGCACAGCCGTACCAATATTTTCTCGAACTGATCCACGGCTCTATTGACCCCTCTGCACATTATTGTTGATAAAGCAAGATACTTGATTTTTTTTGTGATCAAGATTACATACTATAACTAACTATTTGCCAACGTACCTAATAGGGGGGGGAAAGGGATTGTTAGTAATGGAGACTGAGAATCCTATTGCTAGCAATATACCCAACCAGGTCGACCTCCTCGCGGTTCTCCCTGGAAACTATCATGGTTAATTCCTGATCAATTCATCATGACGGGCTAACTGGCCTGTTTTCATTCTCATCTATCACCCTTCACTGGTGCTCCGCCAGCGTATCCCGTTAGCGCAGGCGGGGTTACCGTACCATTTTCACCCATCAAAAAAAACTAACCTAATAATGCCACTGACATACTCACCGATAATCTAAATTCTTAGGTACTTATAAACTTTAAATTTTGAATTTTAGTTAGCATTTAGAATAAAAAAGTTAAAATTTCCCCTAACTTCATTATTCAACTATTCATTTTCATTTAATGAAAAATAATGATAAAAAAAAATTACGTTCGTCATTTACAAAATCAATCGGCGAAATCGGCTCTGATTTGGTAAAAGTATCGTTTAGGTATGATCTATAGTTATACAGCATTTTTTATCTACTGTATATAGAATATTTAATTAACCTTACTGCCGCAAAGTAGCGTTTCCAATTCGTCCGGTCTGAACAACGACCAGATTGGGCTCCACTGTATTACACTAAGGAACCCGTGCCGCATCGCCTTGAACTGCCTCTCCACTGATTTATTAAGTAAAAAGTCTACATACAATGTAACGAATTCCTGAAAAAAATACAAGAATATTATTTTCACAACCCGTAACGATTGGCATGTTAATGGCTCAATGGCTAGCGACAGAATGAAAGGGTCTTTAGGTGACAGTAAGCTCTTTATGGGTACTTTAGGGGTACTTACACCAAAAGAAATTATTATGATTTATTATGCAAACACAACTGCTTCACCCAAGCAAACGACTTTTGTACAAAGTCTCCCTCTGGTAACTAATTATAATTACTAATTTCCTATCTCGATTATAAGCCATTATTACCAGAGGAAGACTGTACAAAAGTCGTTTGCTTTAGTACCTCTGTCCCATTCGTGTTTCAACCGTAAAGCAGTTGTGTTTGCATGGCTGTGTTTCGGTTTGAAGGGTGGGATATGGCGTGAATTTACTGGGTACAGAGGAATAACACCTGAATCCTCAGGAATGGCAACGCATGGGGGGTATCATGGGCGAAACAGTATACTCTGTTATGTCCATGGTACTGTTCATGTCTATAGGCGACGGTTACCACTTTTCATCAGGTGGGCCGTGCTTGCTTGTCATTCTAAGTTGTATAAAAAAAAAGCCCAAGTGTTACTAAAAATTGTATATGTATGCTTATTGGTGAAGATTGCTAATTGACTCAAAACTATATGTCCACGAATAAGTGACATTTGTCCACTAATCTTCTTTTGTGTAAATTTAATATATAATTCTAATAACTCAATAGTAGAGCATTAGTTAAGAAAAACTGAATCACAAACGGTTAGCTTGAAAATGACTTACCCTCTTGTTATCTTGTGTTACAAATATCTTGTCACCGTTCTCCTTCAAGTCATGCGGGACGATATTACCAGAGCCGTCCTCGTAAATAATTCTGAACGTTTGGATCAGGGTTGCTTCCAGGTCGTCTCCTTCGTACTCCAGGATATATTTTAATCCTTTGTATAAGAACTGCAAGTGAAAATATGTATTTATTGTAAATATTGTGTAATAAATTAGAATCATCAATTAAAATGTATTCATTAATATATAATAGGTATTAAATTAATTAGGAATGAGTTTAATTTAAATTTATTAAATTACTAGCATTTTGCCGAGGCTTTGCCCGCCTGAAGCAATATAATACTAATAATATGTGCTACATAATTACGTTAATCGCCTGATCCTCAAGGCAGGTTATCCTGTGTTAAGAAAAATCAGCTCAAAATTATTTGTGGACTCAACTCTGAACACCCAAAAACAAATCAGAAAAGTTTTTTTTTTAAATTAACTGGAACGTGAATCAAATCTGGGACCTCATTTAAAAAAAGCAGCGTTCTCTCCACTACGCCACTGCTATTATAAACTTAATTGGATTTTATAAGAATATGTAGTGGAGTAAGAGGTTTTTTTCAGATTGCGTATACCTTTGGAACTGCAGGCGTCTGTAGGCTACAGTCACTGTTTACCATCAGGCATGCCGTATACTTGTTGACCACCTCAGTAGTACAAAAAAGCAAAGAATACTTACGGGACTCCAGTCAGCAAGGTCTTCGTATGTGCCTTTCTTTCCCATCAATTTTTTATACATAACCATAGGAAAATCGATTGGTATAATAATAGTATTATACAAGGCAAGTCCAAGAATTGTGCCCATAAGGTTAAACAACGCGTCATTTACTGTTGTCGAGAGATTAAACCTAAAAAATAACATATTAACAGTCACGTTATATCATACAAATGATATAATAAGTAGCTGACGGGGCGAACGTCGTATCGCCACCTGCCGGGTGCATTTTTCTTGCTGCGATGAGAACCTATCTCTCAATTTAGAACCAACAATGAAATTTTACATAATTTCATTAAAATCGGTTGAGCGGTTACGGAGATTAGCGTGAATAAAATAAATTTAGTAAAACGCGTAAGCGTCATTACATTACTTTGAAATTACCAAAGTATGATGTCGCTTTAAAATCGCTGTCACTGTGCTACTTATTATTTCAGCTTCCCCCATAAGGAAAGTTTTGCCAGTAGTTGACACACTTGGCAGGCGCGTTGCCAATCGCAGTTAGGCTTTTAGAAGTATTTTAAAAGGTACGCTATTGCCCATCCCTCGTCCTCTCTTAGTCGACTTATGACACTCACGGGAAAGGTAGGGGTGGCCCATTCTATGCATGTGCCCCGGCGCAATATGCTATTTGGGTGTTAGAAATTGTTTATCATAATTTCTATTATTACATCTCAAGTTAAGTGACAGCTGAATGAACTTTTACCGTGGTTACGAGGATACAACAATACATTTAAATTTTTAAATTGTTTACCATAAAGTATTAGTTTCCATTTGGTACCGGAACATACAATATTTGGGATTGCACAGCATTCCGCATATCATATGAAAGAATTCTTTCCGGGTACCGTGGCCAGTGAGCGGCTCATTTGGAAATTGAATAACAAGTGCTTTTTTCAGATCAACTGGGTTCTGTCTTGCTACTCTTTCCAGCTAAAAAGTAAAAAAAAAAAGAAAACTTGATAATAGAAACATATTATATTATATATATATATCATCGTCGTCATCATCACTACGTAATATAAAACAAAGTAGCTGTCGCTGTCTGTCCGTCCCTATGTATGCTTATAACTTTGAAACAACGCAACGGATTTTATATATATATATATATATATATATATATATATATATATAAATTTTTTGATTATCTCTTTTAAGGGAATCGTTCAGTATTTATTGGTAGACTTCCTTAGATAATTAGTAATTAGTATTTTTTTCGATGTTAATCTACCTATATAATAGTTAAGCATGTATGTACCTCTTCGCATAGGGTCTCCTCATACTACGCTTGTCTACACATGTTTACCACTCGACCACGCAATGTAAGAACTATTAATATAACATGTAACATTGTGATGTAACATGTACTTACCACCATGAGCGTGTCCTCAATGAGATGAGTGCGGCGCAGCTTCAAACACAAATATGGCGACATTGGAATCCCACGGAAATCGGCCAGCAGCAGTTCTAAGTACACCCGGATATGACCCTCGTAGCACAGGCCCAGCGACTTATAGGTTGTTGTTAGCATGAATGGGTATTTCAGGAAAGTGAATCTCTTTTCTGCGTTTAGTTAAAATAAAATTAAATTCCTACTAATATTATTTATTTATATATATATCTACATGCCACATAGTACAGATTAGTTCGTTACAGTGTAATATGTAACATGGAGGGGACTTTGTACAAATGTCGTTCGCTTGGCCACCTCTGTCCCGTTTGTGTTTCTACCGTGTAACAAATCAAGTAAAACAGATGTCCTTGAGTTTGGGAGTTTGGGAGCCTGGTGATCAGTAAGATGGGTGATACCTGTACCAACATCAGTCTCTCATAAAGATTGTTTAAATTATAACCTATGTATATTATATTGTTTTTTTATGAGAGAAATATATATATATATATATATATATATATATATATATATATATATATATATATATATATATATATATATATATATATAACATTGAAACAATGAAGCAGTTGTGTTTGCATGGCTGTGTTTGGGTTTGAAGGGTGGGATATGCCAGTGAATTTACATGGTACAGAGGAATGAATGAAGAAGAGGAAGAAATGCATGGAGGACATCGTGGGCGAAATAGTAATATGCCCATGGTACTGCTCATGTCTATAGGCGACGGTTACCACTTTCCATCAGACGGGCCGTCAGCTTGTTTGCATTTCTAAGTTGCATAAAAATAATCACAAATAATACAAAATGTACATATATTGTTTTTAATGTTACCAAAAGTTTATAATTTAAAAATTTGATCTTTATAATTACATGAAATAAAATATATGAAAGGCATCGAAGTAAAATAAATAAAAGATTATCGTGTTAATATTAAAAGCTACTTACCATTGCTCAAATCAAATCTACAATCTGATAAATTCGTCGCCTCCTTGGCGACCAGGTATTCACTGAGATGTTTGTTGTAGAATTCGTTAAATGGTATGTAAGGCTTAACGGAGTCTAATACGTCAATGTTTAGTTCGTTGGCTGTAACAAAATAAATTGCTAAGTATTAAAGATTTTTTTTTTATACCACTGAGGTGGCAAACAAGCATACGGCCCACTTGATGGTAAGCGGTTACCGTAACCTATGAACGCCTGCAATACCAGAGGTATTACGCGCGCATTGCCGACCCTGAAGAAACCTCTATATCCCCCTTTTGAAGAACCCCATGCTGTAGTCTCTTAGGAAAACCTCGGCAGGGAGCTCATTCCATAACCTGAGTGTTTGTGGGAGAAAACATCTCTGAAACCGCGTTGTACGCGACCATTTAGGCTGTAAGGTATGAGGGTGAACTCCCTATCGATGGTGAGCCGAGCGTAAGATGATTGGTATAGAAGGAAATGGTAGAATGTTCGAGAACCCATATTTCGAATTATTTTTAAGATTGCAACTTTATCTCTGGAAAGCGAAAGAGAATAGAGGTTGAAAGTTTCATAGAGAAAATATAAAATCACATGATATGAATATGGTTTGAAAATGGCATTGTCATATTTACGACTCTTAAAAAGAAGGGATTCTGAAATAATTACATGGTGGTGACCTTGACATGATTAAAAAAAATACGTTTCTAAAGTCGTAGATGGCGATGGAATGGAAATACTATAATATCTTGTTAATATAGTCTGTTTCGATGTAACTTACGAGAAGGGCTAATAAAAATGCCTTAGGTTAGGCGCAAGGAGTCGCACAACGGAATTCATACAAATTTACATATTATAACAGTATGTATATTTTTTTTTTTTATAAAAACATGACTCTTTTTATTATATTAGTTTATAGATGTATTAATTCCATCATTATGCATTTTTTATATAAAAATTTCTTATACTTATGAGAAAGTTGAAATGACTTTGGCAAGATTTGGTAAAATATTTACTTCAATTAAAATAAATTTACTTAAGTAATAAACCATTAAAAATAATAACATAATTTTTATACAGAGAATAATTGGCAACTTTCAATAAGGATATCATATCCATTGTATATTAGTGTGTTAATGAACGACGACGACCCCTAACTTCTATGTTTCAGCGTTTTAAAATTAACGACTTTGAAAATTAAAAAGAAATTAGTAGGTACACAGTAATAAGCAAATTAAAATGTAGACAAATGTGAAAGACCTCTTTATGGAAATGTAAATGCTTAGCAGTGGACACTTATCACTTATATGGTGATGGGATTAGTAGAATAAATCATAGTAGGCATGAGGAATAAGTATATCAGATATATTTAATATAGGTATATTTTACCAGAGGGAGACTTTGTACAAAAGTCGATTGCTTTTTTACCTCTGTCCCATTCGTGTTTCAACCGTGAAGCAGTTGTGTTTGCATGACGGTGTTTCGGTTTGATGGGTGGGATATGGCGTGAATTTACAGGGTACAGAGGAATAACACCTGAGTCCTCAGGAATGGCAACGCATGAGGGGTATCTTGAGCGTAACAGTATACTCTGTTATGTCCATGGTACTGCTCATGTCTAGGTGACAGTTACCAGTTACTCATCTGGTGGGCCGTTAGCTTGTTTGCCATTCTAAGTTCAATAAAAAAAAATACTACTGGTTTAAAAATAAACTTATCTTCCTTACCTAAAGGATCATCAAGTGATATGTATTCCGAATTCTTTAAGTGCAAGGACGTAATATTTTCCACAAGCGAGGTCAGATCCAGTAAATCGTCTTGGTTTACTGTTATACGTTCTTCGGGAGACGAGATCTCTACTACACCCGCTAATATATTTGCGTAGTATAATATCTGTAATTGTTAACAGTAAATTAAATAAAAGATGAATATAAATATACTTATCATCATCTTCCTACCCTTATCTCAATCATTTGGGGTCGGCGTAATATGATTTTATCCATACTACAAAAAAATTTGGTTTTTAGTTTTACGACCGGCCACCTACCTGACGTCAACCCTCTTTGGGAATATAATAATACTAAAAAATATATGAATATAAATATACTAAAGGATATAATTAATAAAGGCATAATCAGAGCCATTTGTTAACTTTTCACATTGCAGTGATCATAACACTGGTCATGCCCACATTTCGTTCGCAACATAATATTGGCTTGCAACGTGGTAGACAGTGAGTGTGCAATCAATAGTTTTATAGATGATTTTATTATATTCTGGAATTCAAGCCACAGTATATTTTATGATATCCATGATGCTGTTTATGTCTACGCCTATCAAAGTTCAGAAAACAGAAGACACTGGATAAAAGACTCGGCAATATAAAAGAACTACTGTGGTCATTACTCATCATCATTGCTAATCATGCATTGTTAAGTCAGTCATTATAAGGAACTAATACGGCAATGAAAATAGAGAGCATTTAGCATAATTTTGTACTTCCTTCTAAATAGTTTATAAATAAACATACAAATATTTTTTATTGCAAATGTTAAAAAGGCAAGAGCTCCACCGACAAGAGTGCAGCTCTTAAATAAAATAGATAGATTAAAAATAAAGTATTTGGACATTTGTAATTTACTATGTTTTGTCTTTATGATATATATTTTCTGAACTTACCTTCATTAACTCAGCTGCTGAGATGACACACTCGTCATTTTGTTTTAAATAGTGGTAATCACTATTTCTAGGAAGGGTCCGTAGCAATATTACTTGATGTAGCGGATTTAGTATACCCCGTATGCCCTCTTTATGCTGGTGGGCCCAAAGACGCGCCAGATTTGCCTGATCTGCAAATGTAAATTGTCATAATCAATTACTTAGTCATAACTGAATATTATCATCACCAAGCAGCTGTGCTTGTTTCACTGTTTCGATTATAACCCAGGTAACATGAAAGGTGTCTGCGACTTCAATACGTTGCGTCATTGTTAAGTCTTTTTGTGACTCTAAATCGACTAAATAATGACGTCGCTTTAAAGTTGCTAACAACGTAATGCTGGAAAAGTCTCAGATAACAACCTGAGACTTTTCTACTAGGAAATTCCAAAAAAGAAAATTGAATTTCTTTGGATTATAAGAAAGTTTTTTTTTATATAAATAATAGTGGACTGTATATAGAATTTAGAATTTATTACAAAATAAAGTGAATGTATAAAAATAAAATAAAGAAATAAGAAAGGAAGATGCCAAAATAATGATAATTACCAATTTAATTTTGATTCCCTTTTACACTATAGTTATTACATATCTAGATTACTAACCTAATTTAGAGCTAGCTGCCATACTTACCAGATTGTTGTGATTTGAATCTATTCTACCATATACTATATTGTTGAAATATATATATATATATATATATATATATATATATATATATATATATATATATATATATATATATATATATATATATATATATATATATATATATTATAATACTTGAGTATTTTCATTTAAAAGTGAACAAAAGTGAAACGCAGCCTCACCTTTTACAGGCAAGTGTTCTGCCACATTGCAAAGTGTTCGTAGAGCGTCCACCTCGTAATAATCCCTGAAGTCATAATTCTGAATTTCTAATGCGATTGCAAGACAATTAACAGCATCATATGACATGGCTCTCTTAAATTTCAAGTCGCAATCGATACGCGCACCAAGCGTAGTTATGAGAGTTATCAATTCACATCTATAATAGTACCGCGGCACCTGTAAATAATTATAATAATAAATTACACAGATACGAATGGCTAATGCTATGTGTCAATCCAGTGTTATGAGGAACCAGGCAACAAACGTCTAGAACACACACTAGCCACAATTCAGGAACAGTAAATACAAGCTAAATGATCAAAGTTTACAATTATGAAGATATCGCGTAATGTACTTAATAATTTATTGAAGCTGTCAAAACGAGGATAGAAATTGAAATCATTGCAAGCAAAATTGATTATTTTTAATAAAAAATAATGGTAAAGAGAAAGAAATATATTAAGCCTCTTCCAAACTAACATAGCCAGTTGTTAGAGCCTAGGCAGGTGTCCGAGTCAAATATTTCTGGCATTTTTAACTTATGTTTCTATGGGAATAATGTTTTGTAACACACAAAAACTCAGTCGTTAAAAAAATTGGAGTAAGTCGGGCTCCCTATAATCTTACGATAGGGAGCAAGCGTGCACGTATTTAAGAGGAGAGCGGTGTATTGTAGATACTACCCTTAATTTGTGAGGGGAAGGAATTGTTAGTAATGTGGACTACCAGTCCCATTGCTAGCAATATACGCTATCAGGGGACCTCATGGTCCCCCTGGAATTGCTGGTGTATTAATTACGATGGGCTAATTGGCCTGTCTTTCTATTCTGACCTATCATCCCTCACTGGCGCCCCGCCAGCGTATACCGTTAGCACAGGCGGGGTTACCATTCCATTATCATACATTAAAAAAACCCTTAACTTGTGGCTCATAACTCACAACATAGATTAAGGGCAGTGTTTGGCATTTTCTTTCTACGACTGACGAATCTACTGACTGTGTTGCATATACGAGGTCTGTCCGGAAAGTTCGTATAAAAGTGTTCTGGAATGCGAGAAAGAGGAGTGGGGAGGCCAGGTAAGCGCAGGACCCCTTCCTTATGTCCCTAACAATGCTTCAGTTCTGGTCTGACCGCCGTGCGGTGCGAACTGGCTTGTCACGCCATCTGTGAAGTTACCTCTTAACGAAACCCCGTCGGCATGGAGCCCGCTTCCGTTGAAGAGCAGCGCGTCGTAATCAAGTTTCTCTCGAAACTCGGCAAGAATGGCCGTGAAATTTTTGCCGATCTCAGAACAGTTTATGGGGATAATGCTGTGAAGGAACCAACCGTCCACAAGTGGCTAAAAAGATTCAGAGAGGGCCGAGAAAGCGTTCAAGATGACCCACGTTCAGGACGTCCTTCCACTTCACATTCCGACGAACACAGGCCAGACAGTTGATGGAAAATTCTACGTCGATGTGCTCAGACGCCTCAAAGCTCGTGTGGCACGAGTTCGTCCAGAATTGGCGCGAGAGGGGCGTTGGATTCTTCACCACGACAATGCCCCTGCCCACACCTCTCTTGTTGTCCGTGAGTTTTTGAGTAAAAATTCCATTACGGTGACCGAACACCCCCCCTATTCGCCGGATTTGGCCCCGTGTGACTTCTTCTTGTTCCCAAAAACCAAATTGGTACTTCGGGGGCGGCATTTGGGGGACATAAATGAGATAAAAAAAGCTACGACGGGGCAGCTGAGAAACCTACAACCAGAGGACTTTCAAGGAGCCTTCTCACAGTGGAAACGGCGTTGGCACAAGTGCATTATGTCACAGGGGGAGTACTTTGAAGGGGATAAAATTGATTTACCTGAATAATTGTAAAATAAAATTTTTAAAAAACTTTTATACGTACTTTCCGGACAAACCTCGTATCGTTACAATCTGTGGAACATTAACAAAACTTACTTTTTTAGCAAGATACTGGAAAGCTCTGCGGCATGATATTAAGTCCAAGAATGTTTCTGATGCGCTCTTATTATCTGTATCGTTAGATTTGTCTGAAGTCCCTTCTGAAAAATAAATGTTCATATTATATTCTTATGTAGTTTAACCTATTTAAAATTGGTTTTTCATATTTGACAGATTTATAGTAAAAATCTTCGCTAAACAATGTCCACTTCTAAATCTGTTAATGTAATTAAAAGTTTTCGTAGACTAAAGAAACTCACAAACATGGACACCAAAAACGTTATACTCTTTTTTACTTGTTTGGCCTAGTCGTGTTAATTTTTTTTTTATGCTACTTATAATGGCAATCAAGCTAAGGGCCCACCTGATGGAAAGTGGTAACCGTCGTCTATAGACATGAGCAGTACCATGGACATAACAGAGTATACTCTTTCACCCATTATACTCTCCATGTATTGCCATTCCTAAGGACTCAGGTGTCATTCCACTGTACCCTGTAAATTGACTGCCATATTCCATCCTTCAAACCGAAATACAGCAATACAAAAACAACTGCTTCACGGTAGAAACAGGAATAGGACAGAGGTGCTCAAGCAAACGATTTTTGTACAATGCCTCTGGTAGTCATTTACTAAATCTGCTAGATCTAGAAATTACGATTCTAAATATAATTACAAGTTTTTTATTTAACTTGTAAAGTGCACAGTTAATTTGTTTTGGTTAAATCTTGCAAACTGAATTACTCTGTTCCTCATAACCGAATTTTCTGAAACGTCGCATATATCTTTATTTCTGGTGAAAAAATGGTCGTCGCAAGATGGCAGATGGTGTATATTTTATCAAGCCTAACAGGGTTGATAAAATATACACCATCTGGGTATCAAATGAAAACGTTTAAAAAGTAGTCTTTAAAAATGGTCGCAGCTACAAGATTGTGAGTTATATGATCAAGTTTTAAAAAATGTTTTTAAACAAACTTGTTAGTTTTTACGTAGACGAGTGAAGACATACCTTGCGTAGTGTTACTTCCACCGGTGTTATTATGGTCCGATACTTTACTATGGAAGCACTTTCCAAACACTGTGAGATTTGAGAACACTTTATTGAAAGCGTCTATCAGTGGCTTTGGTGTTCGTGTTTGGATGCTTTCATCACATAGTTTGTAGACATCATGTTCAGTTAATGGCGTTTCATAAGCTGCAATAGCAAAAAGTTCTAATATTAAGTCTTTATTTTGAACAATTGCCTATCTATAGTTTGTTTTAATAAAATTTAATGTAATGGGGTGTACTAATTATTTTCAATAATATAGCTCGGTCAAGCGGAGGATGTCATATATATATATATATATATATATATATATATATATATATATATATATATATATATATATATATATATATATATATAATATAAACTAGTAAATAATAATTTGTCCTCAATTTTATCTCTATATGTTATAACACTCCTTCTATACACAAGTTTTTCGATTGTCCCCAGCAACGGCTCTTGGCAAAGAATTTGCGCAAGCTATTGCGTTGACTGTTAAATAAACCCAACTTCTCTGGCTCCACAATGCAAGGGCACGCCGCTTAACGTCTCTAAGAGCATTAGGAACCTTAATGTCGAAATTTCTAGTGACGTACAGTTCCGTGGTCACCTCGAAGATAAGGTAAAACTGACATCCATTAAATTAAAAAAAATACCTTTCAATGTGCTGGGCGGTGGTGCAGTATGTACGGAAGTAGCTTCCTGAATTTGGGGTTCGTTTGGTGTACTCGTCTCATCCGATATGCTGTAAGAGAGAATGGGTGAATTAAACCTTTTCATTGATCTTCTCCGTATAGCGTGTGGTCCCGGCATAAAATAAGCCACCCCTTCTTTTCCCGTGGGTGTCGTAAGAGGCGACTAAGGGAGGGCGAGGGATTGCTAGCAGCGTATCTCTTAAAACATCTCTAAAGCCCTGACTGCGATTGCCGATCCCCAAGGGGGAAGCTTATGTTCAGCTATTGTAACCGATTTCGTTTTCACGACAAGAAATTTATTGCTTTGAAAAAAAAAATGGTAGCTTCAATAGTCGCAGAATTAAAATGAAAATAAATGAAAACACGAAAATAATCGCTATCGGTTGCAAAAGGAATTGTGAATATCGGTTCAGCATTCACGTCACAGTCGCGTAATTTTCCTTTAGGAAATCCCTTACATCTTAATCTTAACTGGAGACAACGTAATAGACTGTAATAAATTGTATAAATAAAATAAGTAATTCACTGTACCTCAAATCTTTCTCCTCTTTTCTATCTTCTTTTTCTTTTTCTTCTTCTTTTTCTTCTTCTTCCTTTATTTGATCGATTTTCACCGTTTTGTTTCCTTCTGTGGGAACTATTTGTTTACGTCTGGTTCCGGTTTGTGTATTTAATGTAGACGTTTGGCTGTAATATTTAATTCCTTTTTATTACTACATCACGTAATAATATTAATATATAGAACCTATTATAGAATCTATAAAATATATTGAATGATATGTATTTGTGTAACTTTATTAAAATAAATAATTACCTGTACCTCATCGTCTTTCTTTCATCCATATTACGTCTTTCGACGCTGGCTTTAGCCGGCATATATGACGTTGACGGTGTACTGTAACTTTATAATAACATCAAAGACTATTATTGTAATGAAATAGCAATTTAATCAATATCTGTATTTTCAAAACATCGTCAAGAGAGATTGAATCAAATCCGGACGATTGAACCAACTGTTTCATCAATCAATGTATTTTAATAAGAAGGTAGATGCCGAAGCTAGTCACTACACTGATTGAAGAGTTGACTGAGAATATTTCTGATTGAATATTTAAAAGCTCTCTCACAGCAAACTAAAACGTTAACCCTAAAATAAGTTGCACAGAAACCTATCACTGTAAGTTTTATACTTTCTTCATAATTTGCTTCGAAAGACTTCAATCACGTTTTTTTTGCCTTTCAAATCCAAATTTTCAATGACAGCTTTATAAGATTTATTTTTGTATAAATAACATTTATTAGTTATTCATTTTAAATAAATAATAAAAATAAATAGACTACATAATAATAATGCATAATGGACAACAATAGTCCTTTGCCAAAATTATAAAAACAAAAAAGAAAAAAGCAATTTGTATTTTATCCCTATTTTAATACATTTCCGTTCTCGCTAGTTGCATCGTCACTTGTAGTGGAGGTGAATGTAGAACTATATATATATATATTCTATGGGTTATAGGGTATTAAATAAAGATGCAAAAGTCTTTATTTTTCAAACTTATATTTATGATATATAAATTTCTTTGCTATGATTCTATATAATTCAAGTTGCTATAACATAAAACGATCTTTTCAGAATCATTCCAACACTGTATTCACAAAAAAAAAAATACACCATACAAATTTTTCATATTGCCTACTAGGCAAGATTAGCGCACCGTTGCATCACGATCACTTCACACTATCATTTAATGAAGAAGAAAGAAAGAAATAATTTAATCGAACAAGCATGCGACCCACACAGTAACGCACAAAACAACAAGAAAAAAAAACAACATTTCACTATTTTTCCTTCACGATTTGCTGTCATTGTTTAACATACATGTTCTATCATTTTACAACATTTCACTGCACCTTCAATTCACTACAACTGTTCTTGTGATCCCCACTGAAAGCCATTCCATGTGTATTCATCACGATGGACTAACTGACCTGCCTTTTCATTCCCACCTATCATCCTAAAGGAACTTCCATTAAATAAATTTAAAATTGTGTTACGGAAATGGTTACTTAGCAAAAGCTTTTACTATGTTGAAGAATTTTTCAAGAAAGTATAGATAAATATCTAATAGTTGTCGATGCATAAATTAAATTAATCAGTTCCTATCAAAATGTGACATTTGCATGCTATTCTGTAATGGCTAAATAGGCACGAAACTTTATGTAATATAAGACCACCGATACCTACCCTATTTAATGAAAATAAATTTATTATTATTATTATTCATTAGTGCTTCGCCAGCGTATACCGTTAGCGCAGGCCATTCTACCATTCTAATATCATTTATTAAAAAAAACAACACCTGTACCCTAGCTTGAGAACAGGCGATATATGTGTTTGTGCAGTATTTGTTGTTATTATTATTATCGTAGACTTACCTGGTACTAAGACCAGAAGGCCCAGCTACGACTTCTTCGATCGGGCTTGAGTCACACAGCGTCGCCCCTAGGGAGAACAGCAAATTGGCCTCGGATGCCGCATCATCAAGATTTTTATTAGCCTGTAAATATTTCTTTATTAAGACTAGTATAGATATACAACTAAAACTAAATATAGTAAAATATAGCGCACAATTTTAAGCAGTTAAATTATATAATAAATTACCCAGCGCATTAAAAACTATTGAAGATTGAAAATATAACTTTGTACCCTTTTGTTGGAAAGGTGCATCTACTCAATTTATTAGTAGCGGTAGTCATTTTTATTACTTCTATCTATATTTGAAAGGTATACTTTCAAATATAGATAGATCCTTAGATGTAGATTTTGAAAGCTATCAACAAAATAATAAAGAAAATAAAAATGGCGACCATTTTGTTAAATCTGACACCGAATATATATTTGAAGTGTATAGGAATCCTCAGATATTGATTTTGAGAGCAATCGGTCAAAGATCCTTTTGATAAAATATATACAGGTTATAAGGGAGAGGTTAGCTAAACCAAAAACAGTGAATTCAGACCAATGGAATCTTTTGCTTGGAAATTTAAAATTTTTCTCTGTCTAAAATATTATATGATAATATAAAGGAATATTTATATTTTTAGTGAAATACTTTGAAATGCCAAAAGCAGCAATATAGTTAGCTGTTTTGATTTCGACCAACCTGTCCTTTCTACTCTGTATAGTTTAATTAAAATCTCTTTTTTTTTTTAAATCATGTGATAATGGTGGCTGTTTTATTAATAATTTAAGTAATTGTATCATAACAAATGTAATTTAATTTAATATGAATAACATTAAATAATCTGCATAATACTCAATAATATACATACCTATATAAATATTATATTTATAAATAGTAGGAAAATACCATATATACAAATTATAATTAAAAAAAATTAAATTTATTTTGGAAATTCACCTCATTTCACAAAGTTTAATTATAAAATGAGTTATTTTTTATTATAATTTGTATATATATGCTATTTTCTTACTATTTATAAATGAAATTTTTATATAGGTATGTATAGAGAGATATTATTGAGTATTATATATATATATATATATATATATATATATATATGTGTGTGTATGTGTGTGTGTGTGTGTGTATACACTGAAGCTCGGAAAACCACATGAAACACCTAGGTAAAAAGTGTATGTTACCTTATAGAAAGAACTACTGGAGGCGCAGTAGCGGTTGTTGCACTTCACCCGTCCACAACCGATACGTAGCTGGTTCATGTATTTCTCGATGAAACTCTGTTCGTTCTCCTGCTCCATTTTGCTTGATAGTACCAAATTACTAAAAGTCGAACTAATTTTCACCTTTCACTATAAGCAAACAATACAAAAACATGTACCTCTGTAAGTACAACCTTATTAATATTGGAAATGAGAATGTAAGTTTGTTTTTTGTTACCTTATAGCACTTTATGAGTTTTACTTTACTTTAGGTATGGTTCTACATAACCTATTTGTAGGGAAAATATAGTGGTAGGTACCTAGTAATGCTAACCTAAGTATAAAACGAAAAAGAATGAAATATTATTTGATTCTATGTTTAAAATTTTACATGTGATTGAGGTCAATCACATTCAAAATTCTAAATTTAAATTTGGTAAAAAAAAAACAATTCAATAGGATGAAAAGAGCCTAGAAGTAGCTGCTACGTTGCTCATTTAAAATATAGCAATGTGCTGGTAATTTTACTTTTAATAGCGGTACGCTTCCATCTCAAAAATACTTACAAGATTAAACTACCACTAAAATATTGATGATTTTGCTTATCTACTTCATTAAATAGCTCGGGTGACACGATATAAGTAAACTTTTACATTGAATTAATATAATTTCACTGATATAAATTTGGAGGGTGGGATATTTTTTTTTACCTATTTGGGAAAAAAAACAGGTACCTAGTACATTTCACAGATAAAATATTACGTACTAAGATATTATTAATAAATAAAGTGTCCACTATTTATTATTACATACAGAGCAAACGAGGTTCGAAATAAATCGATGAATACAAAAAGAAAAAAAAAATACCCACTAAGATGCAAACACTATCACATTGAATCCTTCACATCATCCCTAATCAGCTTTTTATATATTGCAATTGTAAATTGCAAATTTATTACAATTGGTACAAACGTTATCTATTACATAAGTTTAATCTAGGTCTTTTGAAATTTATATTGCTTAAAAGAAAAGTGGCAGTGAATTTACAGGGTACAGAGGCACCTTGCTCCTTAGGAATGGCGCCGCATGGGTGGCGTCATGGGCAGCACGCTTACATCCGTGGTACGCTTCATATCTATAGGCTACGGTTACCGCTTTCCATTAGGTTCAAGCTGGTCGCCCTGTTTGTTTGCTTATTCTAAGTTGCATAAAAAAAGAAAAACTATTTATAAAATTTTTTATAAAAAGATAAAACAATACGTACCAGACCTGTTGTATATTGAAACACTTGGCTGTCAATGGCGAGCAAAACGCGAAGCCACAAATCGCTACGTCAAACTGTAACAAAACTACCCACTTGGTACTGTATAATCGAAATCTTACTTTTTCTACGCTAATTATTTAGATAAAAAAAAACCAACAACCCTCTTCAGTTTTAATATCACACTACGATTAAATAGAATTTAATAAAAAGTTTGTAGGTACAGAGTAATATATTCCTCCTATCCTATATAAATATTATAAATGGGAATTTTTATAAAATGATTGTTTGCCACTCGCTTAAAGCACTGCACGGAATTGAATAAAATTTAATGACGATTAGTTATCTTAACAACACGTACAAAGAATAATATTAACCGTGTCATATTACTTTACATTTGAAATACATTTAACACGTCTCAGATGACCGCTGCACTTCATAATATGATCTTGGTATTTACAATTAATTAACCCGAGTATTTATTACTTTCATGCATACGAAAGTTTATGTGTGAATCGCTGTAGTCAACAGATATTTTAATTTGTTTTTTTTTTATTATAAAATTTTATTTAATTTTAAAATTATATAAAATTAAATTTAGAAATTATATGAAAATTACGTTTACGTTGCGTTAAGTGACTTAACTGAATCGGGTAGAATGAAAAAAAAAACAATTTATTAAAATCGAATAAGAAAAAAATGCGTACGTTGCAGTAATTGTTTCCCAGTGTAGGCAATGCGCGCGTAATACTCCTGGTATTGCAAGAGCTCATAGGCTACGGTAACTGCTTACCATCAGGCGGACCGTATGCTTATTTGCCACTTCAGTGTTATAAAAAAAGAAAACTCCCTACACAACCCACCGTTGTTACGTTTCTTAATGTACAATGTATGCTGTATAAAGCCTATTTTAAACTGCTGCAGTCACTTTTATTTAGAGGAATCAGACATAATTTAAAATAAAAGGTCTAAATTAATTAATTAATTTATTTGTTTAACTCTTTATTGTACCAGAAACATTACAATATACAATGGCAATTGAATAATTCAAGTGAAACATTCAATTGCCATTGTATACATTTTTAAATATATTACTAAAGTATTCTTCTAAAATTTGGTAAATTAATCTTAACACACGAACGACATGCAGAAGTAGTGAACTGGACGGTAGGGAAAAAAACAAAATTATAATGTAAAAATTTGACGTTCATAAGCGGCTAAAATGTCCTACATGAATAAATGATTTTTGAATTTTGAATTTTAGCTTAAAACATCTAAAAAACTTATCAGCGGTTGCCAATCCGCCTGCTAAGCGTGGCAACTACTGGCAAACTCCTTTAGGGGGAGGCTTATGTTCAGCAGTGGACAGTTAAAGGCTGATATGAGGATGATAATGAATCTTCACTCGTCTATCTAACTATTAAAGCTCTTCCATGAATAATTTCAATAAAAAACGTAATAAAAAAATGCAGTTAAATCAATAATTGAATTGATCATAAGACAATATTTAAAATAATCTATCTATCTATCTATACTTATAATAAATCTGTAGAGAGGTCAATTCTGTACATGAAATATATTTCCAAATACTTATAACAAATCTGTAGAGAGGTCAATTTTGTACATGAAATATATTTCCAAAATAACTATCAGCGGGTGATTAGTGATCGATACTGATGACGGATTTTAACGAAACTTGGTACAATGATTCTTCATACTCCTGGGTAGGTTAAATTATACTTTTAATCGCGCTACGATCAAAAGAAGCAGAGCAGTGAAAGGAAATGGTATGCAATGGTAAACAAGCAAAAGAGTTTGCTTGTTTACCATTTCACTAAGTGATAATTAATTAATTATTGATATATAATAATTATATACACAAAATTTTATATATATATATATATATATATATATATATATATATATATATATATAAATAGATTATATTATATATAAATATGTAAAAAATGTAATCTTTTTTTATACCACTGAGGTGGCAAACAAGCATACGGCCCACCTGATGGTAAGTGGTTACCGTAGCCTATGAACACCCGCAATACCAGAGATATTACGCGCGCATTGCCGACCCTGAAGAAACCTCTTTACCTCCATTTTGAAGAACCTCATGCTGTAGTCTCTTGGGAAAACCTCGGCAGGGAGCTCATTCCATAACCTGAGTGTTCGTGGGAGGAAATATCTCTAAAACCGCGTTGTACGCGATTATTGAGACCATTGTGCTATAAATATCAAAAACAAGTCCTTAAAAATTACTTAAAGATAAAAAATTTGTTTGAGATCACCGCCAACTGGTAGGGTACGTAGGAGACTTGCTGCATTTCCACGCTGAATAGCTATGGAAATGCGTTGACCAAATTATGACACATCAATTGATGATTGACGGTTTGCTATTAATTTAATTTAAAGAGTATTTCTTTTCTTTTTTTGTACAATTTAGAATGCCAAACAAGCTGGCGGCCTACCTGATGGAAAGTGGTAACCGTCGCCTATAAACATGAGCAGTACCATGGACATAACAGAGTATACTGTTTCGCCCATAATACCCCGCATGCGTTGCCATTCCTGAGGACTCAGGTGTTATTCCTCTGTACTTTATAAATTCACTGTCATATCCCACCCTTCAAACCGAAACACAGCCATGAAAACACAACTGCTTTACGGTTGAAACACGAATGGGACTGAGGAGCCCAAGCAAACGACTTTTGTACAAAGTCTCCCTCTGGTAATTTATTTCTATCATAAACTTAGTATAACTTACTTACGTACTAACAGACTGGAAATGCAATCTCGAAAAACGTGAGAAAAAAGTGATAACACTTGTTAATTCTAAACGTCGGTAATAAAAAACCAGATATATAGATACTATTTACTAAGCAAAAATTTTTTCAACGAATTAAGTCCCAACAGTGTATTAAAAAAATGACTGCACTTGTGTGCGTGAAATAGAAGTGTGAGCGTGGAACAGTGCTGCACCATGCACATTCTATCGTTAAATAATTTACCAATATTGATAAATAAATTCAATCTCAAACCTTACGAACAATTTTATTCAATAACTAGCCGTTTGCAGCGGCGTTACCCGCTTCTAGCTATGTAGTTCCCGTATAGCCTTCCAATTGGAACTGTTCATGAATCCGGTCTTATATTGTATTATATAGTTCAATGATACAATTACATTTCTAATACTTTAATAAAGTTTCAGCCAATTCAACTGATCGGTTATTTTGTAGCATTTTATATGTGATTCTTTAGCTTGATATAACTTTTTTATTTATGGAGCGATTGAAATAAAACAAACACTAAATGTTAAGTGGAGCAAACTGAAACACATTAGTGAAAATCCCATTTGAATCGATTAAGCCGTTTCTGAGACTAGCGTGCACAAATGTACAGACAGACAAAATTTCTAAAAATCGTTGCATTGGGTTCTATTGCGTTTATGAAGCTTCTTATATATCTTCCATGTACAGACAGCGACCGGTTAGGATTTTATTATATGTATTGATTAGCAATTCAGTGTACATGTAATAAATTGTACATAACATGTACACATGTAATAATCAAGTTGTAAAATAATTACATTTTTAGAAACGAAATATATTTATAAACTTTATACAATGTACGATATCGCATATATAATATTACGTTTTAACCGACTTCAAAAAGAAGAAGCTCATAGTTCAATTGTATTTTTTATTTTTGTTACCTCAGAACTTCGTTATTTATAAACTAATTTCGAAATTTTTTTTTTTTAATTTTTCAATTCAATTTATTTTTATTCATTACAATACTGCATTGTGTTGAACATTTTTACAAGTGACAAGAAGATGTCATAAAATATAACAAAACAAATAAAAAAATATGAAGCAACAAAATAACCAATAATAATTGTCAAAAATAACATTACAATCAATTTACAAATGTCATTAGTAAGGCATGAAATATTAAAAGAGTATTTTAAAATTCATCAATTGAGTAGATGCACCTTTCCAAAAAAAGAGTATAAAGTTTTATTTTCAAAATTCTCCAATTTTTACCTAATAGTTTTTAATGCAGCGGGTAATTTATTATACAATTTAACCGCTCGAAATTTTGCGCCATGTTTCATTATATTTAATTTAATAATTGAAGGATAGTTCCATGGAAATTTTATTAATATAATATTAACTTTTAGTTTTGGTTCTGATATTAAAATAACTAGTTTTACTACGACAAATGTATGAATACATCACTATTAATAAATACTAAGATGTTATGCGTCCATATTTTGTTTTTTTTTACCGAACGAAGATAATAAACCAGAGGGAGACTTTGTTCAAAAGTCGCTTGCTTGGGTACCTCTGTCCCATTCGTGTTTCAACCGTGAAGCAGCTGTGTTTGCATGGCTGTGTTTCAGTTTGAAGGGTGGGATATGGCGGGAATTTACTGGGTACAGAGGAATAACATCTGAGTCCTCAGGAATGGCAGGCAACGCATGGGGGGTATCATGGGCGAAACAGTATAGTATTATGTCCACGGTACTGCTCATGTCTATAGAGCGACGGTTACCACTTTCAATCAGGAGGGCCGTCAGCTTGTTTGCCATTCTAAGTTGTATAAAAAAAAAAGATATACAAGAGTCGTATAATTGGAAATCTCTGACCCATTTGTTGGTAGCAGTTGTGTTTGCATAGCTGTGTTTCGGTTTGTAAGGGTGGAATATGGCGTGAATTTACTGGGTACAGAGGTATATAATAATGTTCAGGAATGGCAACGCATGTAGGATATCGTAGTCGACATAGTATACCATAACTTTTTATTAACATCACAACACCAAGCGTCTCGAAAATAATTTTACTATATTAAAGAAGTAAATGTTTATCGGGTAAAATAATACTACTAAAAATATACCAGAGGGAGACTTTGTACAAAAGTCGTTTGCTTGGGCAGCTCTGTCCCATTCATGTTTTAACCGTAAAGCAGTTGTGTTTGCATGGCTGTGTTTCGGTTTGAAGGGTGGGATATGGCGTGAATTTATACGGTACAGAAAAATAACACCTGAGTCCTCAGGAATGGCAACAGTATACTCTGTTATGTTCATGTTACTACTCATGTCTATAGGCGACGGTTACCACTTTCCATCAGGTGGGCTATCCACTTGTTTGCCATTCTAAGTTGTATAAAAAAAAATATCGTTTACTATGATTTC